GGGTACTTGGACAAGGTGATGAGCTCGCAAGCTGTCGTATAAGTGTTCACTTGGCTCATGGGCCTTTGATGGAACGAGTCGATTGACGTAAGCCGAAATTGCATGATGTTGGAAGCACGGTCGATCCTGATGTGTCTGAGACCTGTATTCGGCCTTGGAACGAAAAAGAATGAGCTGTCGACATCACTTGGATGCTTCGTACTACCCGATGCTATCGTCAACGTCGTGCCCAGTGGCTGTCATGGCCGCATGGCCCTCGTTCACATGACCTTCGATCATTCTTGAATGGAATGCCCAGGAACATCCCCGAACGATGGTTTTCATTCAGTACGTGGGCAACTGTGTGGCCCGACCGCTCACTCGCACCACCATGAGGTCGTTCTTCTTTACATTGTGGCCCACGTGAGTGTATCGTTGATGCCTACGGTGATGCCGTCCGAAAACATTGCGAGCGAGAACAACGGCATCTCGCGCCATCGCAATGGAGTTCATCGCGACGTGAGGGGGGAGTACATTGGCTGCATTTGGACAAAAGTCGGCAGGGCAAAGTGGCCGCTAAGGGAGCTGCCGCTACACTACGAACTGGTGGTGGTGGTGGTGCACGGCCCAGTGATGGGGCAAGTGCCCACCTGATGCGCCTGGCGCACGAAGGCGGGAGTCGGCCATCGCGCCACAGACGGTCGGACCGCCGATGAATGAAGGTACCAACATTCCCCGTTTGCCCCACGTCGGAACGTTGTTTTTCCCAACCTTTGGGTCCAATCAAAGCAGTGGATGTAACCTCGTGGGAATTACGGCGACCTCGGAATGGGAGAAACCTCCACGAGACGATCATCCAGCAGCGCCATTTTGGAATCGACGCCGACGACGGCAGGCACATGCTCAAGACACAGCCAACAAGCACGTACCAGTCCGTGGCGAAGCATTCGAACGCGGCGGCGTCGACACATCCTGTCGAGTCGGCGTCGGTCTTTTCCAAGTTGTTTTTTGGATGGGCGACGCCGCTGCTCGAGCTGGGCAACGCGCGGCAGTTGGACCCGACGGACGTGTGGCCATTGCAGGTGGAGAACCACTGCCGCGTCGTGAGTGCCGAGTTTGAGCCAACGTTCGTACGTACGCGATCGATTTTGTGGACGATCGCGATCACGTTCCGATGGCGCTTCGTCGGCATCGGGTTGATGCAAATTGGGAATGTGCTGGGCACGTTGTACGGCCCTGTCGTGCTCAAGCAATTTCTGCTGGCCATGGAAACGAACGAGTTTGACGTGGTGTACGTGGTACTGCTGGTTGTGTCGCTGTTTGTCGTTCGCGTCGTCGCCGCGCTCTTGTCGGCGCACTCGAACCTGCAGAACCAGCTCATCGCGGTCAAAATCACGTCGGCGCTGCAGCATTTGCTTTTTCAAAAGTCGTTGCATCTGGACGCCAAATGTCGCCGCGACAAGACGGCGGGGGAAATCGCCAACATGTTCTCGAACGACATCCAGTGGATTATCAACTTTGCCGTGTTTGCCAACCAGCTCTGGATCGTGCCGTTCCAGGTCGTGCTCACCCTCGTCATGCTGTACGACGTGATCGGGTGGGCCACGTTTGTTGGCGCCGCCGTCATCGCGATCAACCTGCTGCTCAACCAAGTCGTGGCGGTTGCCATCCGCAACGGGTTCGAACAACTCATGAAGGACAAGGACACCCGCATGAAAACCATCAACGAGGTCTTTGGCGCCATGCAAATCATCAAGCTGAACGCGTGGGAAGAGAAGTTTGGCGACAAGATTGCCGCCGAACGCAATGCCGAACTCACGACGCTGTGGCGCATCTTCATGCGGTTCACGGCCAGCATTGTCATCCTCTACCTCGGCCCGGCCCTCGTCACGATCGCATCCTTTGCCACGTACACGATGGTCATGCACGAGCCGCTCCCCGCGTCCAAGCTTTTCACGGCACTCAGTTTGTTTACACTGCTGAAGTACCCCATGCTCACGCTGCCCAACATCATTTCGAGCCTCATGCAAGCATTGGTGGCGCTGAACCGATTCATGGAGTACTTCGACATGGCTGACCGCGACACGGCGCAGATCTTGACACCGGTGACCGTCAACGCGGCGGACCTGGCGACATTCGCCGCTGAAAACATCGACATTCAAGTGGACCATGCGAGCTTTGGGTGGGACGCCGCCAAGCCGCTGTTCACGGACGTCAACTTGACCGTCCAGCGCGGCGAGTTTGTCGTGGTCCATGGGTCGGTCGGCGAAGGCAAGTCGTCGCTGTGCGCGGCGCTGCTCGGCGAAATGGACAAGTACGAAGGCACGGTGTTTGTGGGCGGCCGCGTCGCGTACTTTTCGCAGCAAGCGTGGATCCAAAACTTGACGATTCGGGAAAACATTTTGTTTGGCAAGCCGTACGACCGCGTCAAGTACGCCAACGTGTTGGAAGCGTGTGCGCTGACGAAGGACCTGGCGCTGTTTGCGGCCGGCGACCGGACCGAGATCGGCCAGAAGGGGGTCAACTTGTCTGGCGGACAAAAGGCGCGCATCAGTCTGGCGCGGGCGTGCTACAGCGACGCCGACATTTTCATCTTGGACTCGCCGCTGTCGGCCGTCGACGCGATCGTGCAAAACGAGATCTTCACCAAGTGCTTTCTCGGTCTGCTGCGCCACAAGACAATCGTCCTCGTCACGCACTCCCCCGAGATCATCGCGTCCAAGTTTATCGACCGCATCCTCGAAGTCAAAAGAGGCAACTTAGTCGAAACATTGGTCGAAAGTGAACGCGACATGGCGCCGCAGGTCGTAGAGCCCCTGGCTGCTCGAAAAGGCTACCGGCACATGGAGGGCGACTGCAACCCGGACGAGCAAGTCCTTCGTCATGGCGCCATTGGATCGGGTGATGCGCCGCTGCTGTTGACACCGTCAGCTTCGACTCCCCTGCCGCGGAACTTTGACGGCCTAGTGTTTACTCCGTTCGAGTCGTCTGTGCTGCCATCGTACGATGACGGCAAGCTCATCCTTGAAGAAGAACGATCGGCCGGCCGCGTGTCGACTGCCGTGTTCCAAGCTTACTTGGCCGCATCGGGGGGATGGCCTGCATTTTGGTACTTATTCTTTGTGCTCGCGCTGTGGCAAGCGCTGATGGTGTCGAGCGACTTGTGGCTGAGTTCGTGGAGCAGCACGGCGACCAAGGTCGCGCCGACTCAGTTTCTCCATGACGCGATGTACTACCTGGGCATCTATGCTTTGCTCTCGCTGGGGGCTGCGTTTTCGACGGTGCTGCGGTCGTTGGCGGTGTATCAAGCAGGTATCAGTGCTTCGAAGGTCCTCTTTGACCAAATGGCGGCGTCGCTCCTTCGCGCGCCCATGCGCTTTTTCGACACCAACCCCATGGGCCGCATCCTGAACCGATTCTCCAACGATATGAACACTATCGATACCAACTTGCCTCTGACCATTAGCGGCTTCACGTCCATGGTGTTCATCGCGGTGTGCTCGCTCGGCACTACCATCTACGTGATTCAGTACGCCGGGCTCGCCATCCTGCCCCTTGTCTACATTTACGTGGCCATCGGTCGATTCTACGTCCAGCCGGCGCGGGAAATGGAGCGCGTCAACAAAACAACCAAGTCGCCGCTGCTCAACTTGATCTCGGAAGCGATTGAAGGCACGTTCGTGATTCGCGCGTTTGGCGACAAGCAACTCCGCCGGTTCCAGCGCATGCACTTCCGCAACGTCGATAGCAACAACCAAGCTGCATTTGCCGCCCAAGTGATCTCGCAGTGGTTTTCGCTGCGGATCCAGCTCACGAGCGCACTCCTCATCTTTGCCATCTCGCTCGCCCTCGTCTTTATGCGCGACTACATCACCCCCGGACTCATTGGGCTCTCGCTCAATTACCTCTTTTCCAGCCTCGGTTTCTGTGAGTATATTATCGGTGGATGGTCCCAACTCGAAACTTCGATGGTCGGCCCGGAACGTGTCTCGGAGTACTGCAACATCGAGTCGGAGCCGCCCCGCGTGATTGCTGGCGCAGTGGCCAAGGACTGGCCGACGAAAGGCGACATCGAGTTCGACAAGATGGCGTTCCGGTACAAGGACAACGACCCGCTCGTCCTCAAGGACGTGAGTGTGCACATCGAGTCGGGCGAAAAGGTCGGGATCGTCGGTCGCACGGGCGCCGGCAAGTCGAGCTTGACCATGGCCCTCTTCCGCATCAACGACCTGGCGGCCGGCAGCATCAAGATCGACGGCGTCGACATTGCGCGCGTCGGCGTCAAGACGCTGCGCAGCAGCATCGCCATCATCCCGCAGACCCCCGTGCTGTTCAAGGGGACGCTGCGCAACTACCTGGACCCGTTCGGCGAGTACTCGGACGCGAATCTGTGGGGGTGTTTGCAAAAGGTGCGTCTGGCGGACCGCATCGCGGGCGTCGACGGCAAGCTGGACAGTCCCGTGGAAGAGAACGGCGAGAACTTTAGCGTGGGCGAGCGGCAGATGCTGTGCATGGCGCGGGCGCTGCTGCGGCAGGCGCGCATCGTCGTCATGGACGAAGCCACGGCCGCCATCGACCATGAGACGGACCAGAACCTGCAGCGCGTGATCCGCACCGAGTTTGCGTCGTCGACGGTGCTCACGATCGCGCATCGTCTCGACACGGTCTTGGACGCGGACCGCATCCTCGTGTTTGACCAGGGGCGGTTGGTGCAGTGCGACTCGCCGGCCGCGTTGGTCGGGGCGGGCGCCGGCATCTTTTTTGAGTTGTGCCACGAGGGCGGGTACTTGGACAAGGTCGCCCAGCACGGTCGTCCAGCACGTGGCTCTTTGTCGACGATGTAGGAAGGAGTTTGTGCTGTAAGCAAGATGATTTCTCCATGGTACGATCGACGGTGGTGTCGGGACGGTTGGCGTCTTGAGCAAGACTGCGCGTGGCTGGATGATGTAGTTGTTTTCATGACGTGGGATTGCAGTCATCGCGCCGGCAGCAAAGAATCCGCCATCGTCATGCGGTCAAAGACGGTGACCAGCTCGACTGCCGACCGTCGTGCAACAAGTGCATGCGTCCGAGCGAAAACGTCGCCATGATCAACGTAATGCGTGCTCGGTTGTGAAACGAACGTAACCGGTCGTAACCAGCATCAACGGAAAACGTGCTGGGATGCCCGAGCCCGTCAAAGTCGCGTGCCATGGGACGGCACGGTCGGCTGGGACGACCGCGTTGGCGCGGCATGCCGCAACGAAGCGCGTGTTCCGCATGATCACGTGGGCTGTCGGAGCCACCGCGGCCTACAACATGACGATTGGGGTCGTCGGAGCAACCATCGCGCCGGGCTGCCTGTCCACGACCGAGCAGGGGATGTACTTTGCACTGCCGTACACGGCGCTCGTGGCATGCACTGTGTACTGCCGGCATGTCTTTTCATCGTTCGTCGCGGTCGACATGGTCGAGGAGAAGTCCGAGTCGGTCGGGGCGAGGGAAGCGACGCGGAACACGTGGACGACGGCGGGCGTGATTAACGCCCTCATGTTTACCACGATCCAGTCGGTGCTGTTTCAGTGCCCGACTGACGACAAGACGACGTTGCTGACGGTCTGGTACGTCGGCAAGATTTGGTTTGCGTCGGGGTGGTCCATCATCGGGATCTGCGAGTCGTCGCTCTACCTCATGTACACGGACCCGTTGGGCGACGCCGACCTGGCGCAGTTCATCCAGGACAATCCCAAATCGATTGGCCTGCCGACCGTCGATTTGGCGCTCTCGCTCCTTCTCACCGTGTCCGCCGTTAGTCTGTGGTTTTACGGGCGGTTCGGGTGCTTCCTCGGCATCGTGCTCAACATCCTGTGGCCCATGGCGATCATGACCATCGTGAACCAGTGGCGGAAGATATCCCTGTGGCACAAGCGCCCGACGACTCGATCCGACATGCTGGAAAAGGACACTAGCTCGTAAGCCGTTGCCGGCAAAGCAACAACCGCACCAACAAGTCGTCCTTGTCGCCGGGATAGCTGCCGTTCGAAGGGTACTGAGCGAGCCACCGCGCACTCCGTTGCGGCTCCAGCTGCTAGCTGCGCGCGTGTGTGGTGTTGCTCCGAGTCGTGCCCATGCCTCGACACGTCATGCACATGTTAACTTATTAAAATTTTCGTCCGCCACCCTTCTTCATGCCGCCACGATTTCCTTTGCCTTGCTGCATCTTCTTGGACGACTTGTACGGCCGCTTGTTGCTGCTTTCGTCATCGCCGTCGCCGTCGCCTTCGTGGTTCTTACCATACCGTGCGCGCTTGCCTGTGCCCTTGCTCGTCTCTTCCTTGAGCTCAATCGTGGCGGCTCGCTGAGCCTCGCCCACGCGCTCGAGCATGACGAGGACTGTGCTTTCTTCGCATGCGTACGCGTCGAGCTTCTTCCCCAGCAAGTGTTCAATGCGCTGGTACAGCTCGACGTCGTATTGCGTCACGAACGAGAGCGCAATACCAGCGCGTCCGGCGCGCGCCGTCCGGCCGACGCGATGAATGTAATCTTTGCCGTTGGTAGGAATGTCATAGTTGATGACGACGTCGACGCTCGGGATGTCGAGCCCGCGGGACGCTACATCCGTGCACACCAAAATCGACCGCTGCTTGGCCTTGAACTTATTGAGGGCACCGAGGCGGTTGGGCTGCGTCATTTGGCCGTGCAGACAGATCGCAGGAAAGCCGAGGGATCGCAGCATGAGCGTCATGCGCTGCGTGCCATTGCATGTGGAGGCAAAGATGAGCATGCTCTGGCCCGCAAATTCGTTCAGGACGTAGGCGAGGTAGCAGTCCTTGTACTTGGCAGGGATGAACAAGTACTTTTGCGCGAGTGTTTCGGGCGTGGCGAACTTGTGCGTGATTTCGACCTTGACCGGACTCTTGAGCGATGCGCGCTGCAACTTGGCGACCTTGGACGTCATGGTGGCACTGAAGAGGTACGTGCGGCGCTCGTTCGGCATGAGCTGGATGATCTGGTTGATCTCTTCTTCAAAGTCCATGCTGAGCATGCGATCCGCTTCGTCCAGCACGAGGTACTTCATCGTGCGCAGGCTGAATCCCTTGGTGTTCTCCAAGTGGTCCACCAACCGACCGGGAGTTGCAATCACCACGTGTGGTTTCTTAGCCAGCGCGACTTGCTGGTTCATCATGTCAATCCCACCGACAACGCATGCGCACTTGAGTCCAATGGATGACCCGAGTGCTTCAAACTGTTCCGAGATTTGGAAAGCCAGTTCGCGCGTCGGCGCCAGCACCAACGCAAAGAGGCGCTGAGGAGACGCCAGCAAGTCCTGCAAAATCGGAATCACGAACGCCCCCGTCTTGCCCGACCCGGTCTCAGCGAGCCCGATGATGTCTTTCCCGGCCAACGCTGGCGGCAAACTCTTTTGCTGGATTTTACTCGGCCGCGTCCATCCGAGAGCCGCGATCGACTCGCACAGAGCCGGGTTCACACCCAGCTCCGAGAACGACTTGTCTTCGATCTGTTCGTCATCTTCCACGACAATCTCGTCGTCGGTCGTGGCGGCGCGTTGGTTGTCCGTCTTGCTTGCGGCCATCGTGACGGGTGTCGAATGCCCCGGTTTCCGCACCAGGTCCAGTTTTCTAGCCAGTCATTTTGTATGGGAGAAATTCCGGATATATCCGGAGGCATCGCTTCATGGCAATGCCAACCCAATCCCGTTTCCATGTCCATGAAGTACGGGATGGGCGGCGCGTCCGACAACAGACTCGCGTCCTGCGGTTGCTTGTCGCGACGCTCGACGTCACATCGACACAATATATCTCGTGTCGCGCCGCTGTTACACAGCGTCCGCCTTGCGCACGCCTTCCAGGTCCGATTCGTCGTGGGCGCACTTGAACGTCAAGGTCCACTCCGTTGGTTTGGTGCCACAGCGTCAACTGCTCGGTGATGTTTGGGCTGCAATCGGTGTCCGCCGCCGCTATTCACTCGCCCAAGGGTTGCACAACCTCAACGGTGGCGCATTTCCTGTCCACGTATTCCCGCTCACGTTGCCCATCCCAGCGACGCGGAATGCTCTTGGTCTTGCAAGCTTGGATAGTGGTCGACAACTCGTCCAACAACTCCGCCCGTTGACCAGGGTAGACCACTCGCGTTCATCCTCGACCGCGTGCGAAGGTCCGTCGCCGTTGTCTGCAGCCATGGTTTTCCTTCAAGAGGATGGACCTGCTCCGTTTGACGTCAACAGCGAACCGACCAAACGGCTCTTACAACGACACGGCCTGCGCGATGAAGTGCATATTCACACGGGCTGCCATGGCTCAATCCAGGGCGTGGCACAATGAAGTACTAAACATGCAACAAGGGACGTTCCCCTGGCAAGTGCCTCCCGACGAAGATGTCGCGGCAGTGTACGCACGCGCCGCTACGTGGACATGTAGGACAGGTCGAGCGAATGCGCTGTGAGACGTGGGGACAAGGGCAGGAGAGGAGTGAGATAATCTGCACAAGCAAGCGGATCTGACGCTGATTCATGGCTGCACTCGATGGTCGAGCTTGTCCATTCCACTTTCAATGCGATTGGGAACGGCGACTCGCCGCAGAACGAACGCATCGACGACGCGAGTGATGCTCGGTTGCGGCGATGGCGTGTGGAGCCCCGTTCAGTTCAGGCAGCCATGCATGCGGTGGTCGTCATGCATCGCTACAAAGGACGCGACGAGATGCGCATGAATAGACCTGTACTACCTAACCACGTTCATATAACTACACCTGCAGCAACGGTGTGCGTTCGTCCGTCTTGTCGACGCGGGGGCGGATGTGGGGAATGGTGAACTCTGTCGGGGGCTGGTACCACTTGAGCGCGAGCGACGACGCCAAAACCGACACGGACGAGAACGCCATGGCGGCTCCGGCAAACATGGGCGGGATCTCGATGTGGAAGCCGTAGAGGACGCCGGCCGCCAGCGGAAGCAGCACGATGTTATACCCCATGGCCCACACAAAGTTGAGTTGGATGCGGCGGTAGATGGTCTGGGACAAATCAAACGCGACCACCACATCCTAGTGGCGGAATGAGCTCCGCGCAACGTGCCGTTTGGCGAGTGTTTTGTACCTTGAGCGAGCTCTTCATGAGGACCATCTGAGCGGTTTCCATGGCGATGTCGGTGCCGGCTCCGATGGCAATGCCCAGGTTTGCCTGCGCCAGCGCTGGGGCGTCGTTGATACCGTCGCCAACCATGGCGACCACTCGCCCCGACGCCTGGAGCTCTTGGACCTAGTCAAAGCAACCGCGTCATGCATGCGCTCGTTGTTCAAACCGCCAAACATTGCTTGCAACGAAAGCGCCAGCCCGAATTCTCACGCGATCGAGCTGCCTACCACAACGTACCTTGGCGACTTTGTTGGATGGCAAGACTTCCGCCATCACGTGGTGCACTGGAATCCCGACTTGCTCTGCGATCCAATGCGCCGTGCGTCGGTTGTCGCCCGTGACCATGTACACAGCCATGCCACGGGCATGCAGCTGGGCAACGGTACTTCGTGCGTCGGCTCTGGCGGCGTCCGAAATTCCAAACAGCGCCACGACGCGGTCGCACAACCCCATGTAGATGACGGTCTTGCCAGCGGCTTCCAGCTTGGCACGTTCGTCCATCGAGCCCTGTCGCCCCATGCGACTCTTGCCCCACTGAAGGCCACACTCGTTCATATAGTCCAAGTTGCCCAAGTGCACCGTGTCGTTTTGAAGCTCGACGGAAATGCCCTTCCCCGACACAGCCCGGAACGTCACGGGGGCCTCCAGCGGCTTGGCGAGAAGCTTGGCGTGATTTACAATTGCACGGCCAAGGGGATGCTCACTGCCAAGCTCGGCCGACGCCGCGAGGAACACTAGGTCGTCCGGGGTCAACATGGTGCCGTCGTCGTCGTCGTCGGCAGACGAAAGAACGATTACGTCCGTCACCGACGGTGTCCCGTTCGTGAGGGTGCCCGTCTTGTCGAAAAGCACCGTGTCGACGTGGTTGGCAGCCTCGAGTGGCTCGCCGCCCTTGATGAGGATGCCCAGCGATGCCCCGACGCCGGTCCCGACCATCACAGCCGTCGGCGTCGCCAACCCCAACGCGCACGGACATGCCACGACCAGCGTCGAGATGGCAAAATTGAACGCAAACAAAAAGGCACTCGTGTGCTGGGGCAAGTCGACCATCCCGAACGTGCCCAGAGCGTACCACACGAGCAACGTCACCGTCGACAGCACGACAACGACCGGCACAAACACCGCAGCTACCTACATGACATATATATATCCATGAGCCCAACGGATCGCGCCGCCGGGTTGCCGAAACCAACGACGGGTAGTACCTGGTCCGCATACGCTTGAATCGGCGCTTTCGACGTTTGTGCGTCTTCGACCAGGCGCACGATTTGGCTCAATGCTGTGTCGCGACCCACACCCGTCACACGCATGTAGAAGAGCCCGTCCACGTTTATCGTCGCGCCAAGGACAGTGTCGTCCGCGCTCTTTTTGATCTATCGCCGACGACGTCAGTGGTGGCATGCATCGGCACAAACACGGCACAAACCAAGCGCGATTCCCCCGTCAGCATGGACTCATCCAAGCGGCCTTCACCCTGCGTGATAACGCCGTCGGCTGGCACGCTCGTCCCGCGGACGACCTTGAGGATGTCGCCACGTTGGACCAATTCAATCGGGACGACATTTTCGATGGAGGGGTGGCCGTCCGTCGTCACCACGAGAGTCGCCACCTACAAGAACCACCGCATACGATTGAATACCCCGTCGCGTCGTTGTTTAAGTCGCAACGCGTCATCGAGAGCGACTTGCGCTGCCACTCGCTGTTTTGTCGACAAAGAACGGCATACCTTGGCTTGCAGGTCAAACAGCTTGCGCAACGCTTCGTTCGTCCGGCCCTTTGCGATCGCCTCCAGCGTCTTGCCCAACGCGATGAACGTCACAAGCATCGACGACGTCATGTACATGTCTGGAACCCCAAAGCTCGGGTCATGGAGGTACAAGCAGCGGAGATCGCTGAAGACGGCGAAAAAATACGCGGCGTTCGTGCCCATGGACACGAGGAACGACATGCCGAGGGACCGATGCTTCACACCATTCCACGCGTCGGCGTGAAAGCGACGCGCGCAATAAAATTGAACGGGAGTCGCCAGCCTAACGTGTCATCTGTCAAAACGTTGCTGGACACGAGCGACGAATTGCTCGGAAATGAAGACTCAAATGGGTCTCAAACTACACACGACGTACAAGAACAGAATGAGGTTATTCCACGTAGACCCCTTGACGTCGAACACGGGGGTGTGCAGCCCGGACGCGATCGGCGCAATGTTGTCCAGCAACGTCATGACGATCATGATCGGGAACGTGAACACGAGCGCGACGAAAAAGTTGCTGCGCCACTTGGCAATGTCGGCTTGCCGGTTGTCGTCCGACTGGACCACAGCACTGCCAGTCACAACCGATGCTTTGTACCCAATGCCTTCGATGACTTCAATCAGCGATCGAATCCCGATCGTCGCGGGCACAAATTTGACGTTTGCGCTCTCCGTGGCAAAGTTTACGACGCAAGATTCGACACCGGCGGTGGCCCGTAAAGCCGACTCGACGGAATTGGCGCACGAGTTGCACGTCATGCCCGACACAGCCAGGGTGACACGCGACGACGCAGTCCCGGATGGCTTGGCGGCAGGAGCCTTGCTAGGAGCAATAGCGGCAGGAACGACCGATGGAAGTCTGTCTCGTGAGGCGTTGTGCTGCTGTTCGGACGCCTCCAAACGAGGCGAGCTGACGTACACGGACGCGATAAACTTCTTCCCGGCACCCTGAACTGTCGAGATCAAGTCGTCTTCGGTGATGCGGCTGCCAGGCTCAATGACTACCGTAGCTTGTTTCTGTTCAAAGTTGACTTTGGCCGACTTGACGCCGGCCGCGTTGGCGAGTGCGCCTTCTACCTTGCGTGCACAGTTCTGCATACAGCTCATCCCCTCGATGTGGAGCACAACAGTTCGCGCACGCCGGTCATCATCTGGAAGGTAGGCGTCGTAGTGCTTGTTGAGGCCTGCATCCAGCCCACGGACGGTCTGGATCAGGTCCACCACAGACACTGGCGCGTGACCATCGGCAAACGTGACGATCGCGCTCTTGTCTTGGAACCGCACGTCCGCGGACGCGACGCCAGGGACGCCCTCGAGCGCTTCTCGAATGCGTCGGGCGCACTTGCTCTGGCATCGCATGCCCTCCACGACCAGCTTCAACGGAGTTGCCATCGTGGAAAATTCCAAATGAGCGCTTCATGTGCAACTTGATTCGATGCCGATGCAAAATACTTCACATTTGTATGGTGGCTGCAAGATACGTCACACTCCTCTCAAGTACGATGGTCAATCCTCTAACGTGCGGCATTCAGATAAGTCTCTGATTTGTATGTCCTTTGGCACACCTCGACCTCAGACGTACTTAAGAAGGTGCAGACCACCAAACCAACAAGTGAAGAGATTGGAACGGAAAGCAACCAGCTGAAGGTGCCTCGCCATGCACCAAAACGTATTCGAAAAGTATGTGCGTGGAGTGGGCCCAGAAACGAGGGGGACTGCGTCGGGGATGTCTCGTTGAGGTCGGGCGAGAGTCCAGTTCCATTGGTGATGAACCAGATGCTCTCTGAAGTGCGAAATCTGGTTAAGTTTCCAATTTGTAATTTGGGTCGCAAAGCCATTGGCCACCGCCACAAGACAGCCACCCACGAATGAACGTTCTCGAATTGGCGACGTCATGTCAGTTCACAGGTACTACGGAGTAAACGACAATCGGAGGGAGGTCTATGTAGTTGGCTTGGCGACCACGTCATCGAATGTTGTGGCGTCCCAGCGGCAACATGAGCGATGACAATGTCGAAGCTGACGTAGATGGGGCAAATGCGTTCCAAAAACGGAGGGTTTCATCCCCCGCGCCAGTGACAATCGTTTGGCCGTTGGGCGACATGGCAAGATGAAGGACGCGATACGTGTGGCCCGTCAGTGTCGCGACCTTGGTCATGCTCGGGTACTTCCACACAATTACTTGATTGAGCGAGTACCCGTGGGTGCTCACGATTTCGTTGCTATTTTTTGACCAGAGGAGGTTGCACACTTGGGACCCAGTGTCGATGGCTTGCAAACCGTGACCTTGCAACGTGTTCCAGAAACGAATGCAGCGATCTGCAGTGCCGCCACCGGACGCCAACAGTCCGAGCTGATGGGGCGACCAAGCAATTGCCTTGACTGCCGCCGAGTGGTCTGTAAACCGTAGCACGGGGTGGGGGGCATGGCAATTCCAGATCATGAGCTACATAACACAATGCAGGTTGGTCATGCAGCGAAGGAAGTGCATAACGCACCTTGTTGTCGTTTCCGCCAGAGGCCAACTGCTGGTCGTCAAACGACCATTTCAAGCCGCAAATCTCTTGCTTGTGACCTTGCAAGATAGATGTGACGTCCATGGGGCATCTTGGGTCGCGCATGCAAATAGTCTTGTCGCTATTGTCATGATGAGCAACCAGTTGAGCTCCTGGCTGCTGGAGACGTACCGACTACCCGACGCTAACACCGTCGCGTTCCACGCCAGTGTTCCCACGCGCTCGGTGTGACCCCTATGTAGCACCATACGTGAACTTCATCGTTAGGCGTGCGATGCTGGTGGAGCCGGTGAACGCACCCCATGACTCGAACACGCTTGTTTAACGTTGTGTCCCACAGGTGAACGTCCCCGTGATGCGTGCCAACCGCGAGATGCGTGCCACGGACGGTCCACGACACAGACGTGACCATCGTCGACAACTCACAGAGCTTCGTGACCTTGCTCGTACATGCGCTCCAGAGGTACACGGCCGTGCCAAGGCCCACGGCCAGGACGTTGGTCGAGGACCAATCGACTAAATTGAGGTAAAAGTCGTCTTGAAGAGCTGGGGCGTCCAGAATCTTGAACGGCGATTTGGCGATCTTGCGTTGTTTTGATATGGGCTGGTTCATCGCTGCAAGCCTGACTATAGGTGTAAGTACATGGCTGGGAATCACAAAGAGGCGACAGCTTACGGGTTGCGTTTTGTCAGTGGTGTCGCGGTCGATGAGACGACGTCACGTGGAGTTTGATATCGATACAGATTGCGGCGTGCACTGAGCGACGTTGACGGTGGCTGTGCCAAGCTCATGTTGGTCGGCGGTTGTGGGGGCAACGCCGCTGCCGTCGAGGGTTCGACACCGAGGTATTCACGCTGCAACAGAACGCTAAGCTCTTCTTGGTTCTTTGTCGAGGTTGGAACCGCAGAGGGCATCTTGTTAGGCGCGTGGACTTGGTTGCGTTTCGATGGTGGATATGGCGATGCGGTTGCATCGGGCAATAGATGAAAGTTGGCCTCGAGGTTGGATCCGATTCGAGAAGGGATGAAGCGATCGCTGTACACATATTTGGATCGGCTAGGTACATGTTAATGCTAGATGTCGTCAAGGCATCGCAGGTACCGTGGTGCATGGGCTGTAGGGGCCTTTGTGTTGGGTGATGTCACAATCGGACGGGCTCCCCGAAGTGGCCGCTGGCTGCAGTTTTCCACATTGGGTGGGGGTTGGCGGGCGTGACGAGTTGTCGATGGTGGCGACTTGAGTGAATTGATTGCCTGGCCTTTGACCAGCCGCGCCTGGTAAAGATGGCACGACATAAGACGACACGTTACTCTAGTTGCCATGCCTACGCATACCTCATACTCGCTGTGTAGTACGCGCAACGGATTGCTTGCAATGTCTGCCGACATCGAAAAGACACAAGTGAGCAGCGCTTGGCAAAAAAGGTTCGAACTTGATGGAAAACTCGGCAAACCTTCCACCGCGAAACGGCCCACTCGTATACAAACTCCAAGTCAAAGAAAGGCCGGACGGTTCTTATCGTGCGATGGGATTCGATGTTTTGACGTCGTATCCGCAACGGCAACGCCCCTTGGAAAACGACTCCAAGACAGCGTTCGACCCCCCCCCAACAAAGCTTGGCATGAGTGTGCAGCCGTGTGGGTGCTGTCTCCCGCCAAGGGATTCCTACCTTTTGCGAGGATCGTATTCCATCCCCGCCATCCCTTCCAAGGCTGGCGGCGGTGACGGAACAACTTCAACATACACTAAATATACCGAACATTCATTCCTCGTCTGCAATTCGTGTGATTCATCGGCGAACAATATTTAGTGTGTGATTTACACTATTTCCATTTGAGAGGGAAAGCAAACGAGAGTTGGCGCCACAATGGAAATCGTTAAAAATATAGGCATATTTTTCATTTTCTGTGGGGTGATGTATGGATGACTGGATATTATTATGTATGCGGATATTTTCGGATAATGTATTCGCGCCGTTTCAGCCCTGGGAGCAGATAATCCTATTCCGTTCCCACACGAAAGCATGGCATCGGCGATGGTGCAGTGCACGCGACCGGTGATCCTGAACGAAGCACCACAGCAAGCATGGGTCGAAATCTCCATGGAGCCAGGCAATGCAAGGTTGAAGAGTGGCACGGGGTTCATCTGGTTGCAAGGGGCCAAAGTGTATGCCGAGCGCAAGGACACGGTATACGATGTGCGCGTGACTGATGCCAAGTCCAACGTGATGCGGTTCAAAATGGACTGGAAATCATGGATCGAGTCAGGAGGTGGGTTTGGAGCAAAACTCGCGGAGACTATCGAAAAGATCAAGTCGTCGTCGACCATCGAAGCCATGATGATGCGTCGACGCAAGCGATCTACCGCTGCTGCAAAGCAAGCCCACGACAAAATCAATTCCGCTGATACAACCCCGATCAAAGTTTCTCTGACACCACTGCAACCACCCATGGCGACTCCTCCTGCTCCCACGAGCCTTGCATTACCTCCCAAACAAGCTGCGACCGACGATAGCACGATTGTAACGACAGATGAAGAAGACAAGCGACTTCTTCCATTGGATGTTATGGGGAGTCCTCGACCTGTACGGAAACGATTATCGTTACCGCTGCAATCCCCGCCGCGGATTGTGAACCGCCGATCTTCGTTCTCACCGTCGTCGCCCATGAAGGATGTGTCAACGACCAAATCACCGTTTCGGTCACCATTCCGATCGCCATTTCGAAAGACTGATGTCGAGAAGCGATACTTGAGTCCGACCCGCGAATCTAGCCCAAGCCCGCCGCTTCGTCGAAGCTTGAAGCGGTCTCTTGACGACGGGAATAATGCTCGTGAGTCGCCAATCGCCGAACGTCCTCCTCGACGCGTCCGGTCTCTGTTCAACGAAGGCGACAGTACAGCCGCATCGACGCTTCCGCCGCCAGTCCCATTTCATGTCAAGTCGACCGAGAGCAGCCGTGCGGAGTCTACGGCCCCTTCGGGCAACCCATCCACCACGAGCAAATATTTCAAGCCGTCGAGCTCTGATCCATCCAACAAGCCCGTCAAGGCCCTCATTCCTTCATCAGCTTTCGTCCGTGCAGGTGCCGCATCCCCACCAGCACGCGGTTCTCCACTGCCGTCGTCGTCTCAACGTCCCCGCTCAACCAGCGGCAGTGGCGACGACATACAACACGATAAGAACCAAGATGTTCCAACTCCAAGTGATGTCGCTGCCATTTCCTCGTTGGACAAAGACTCTGATCCTTCGACCAGGTAAGCACGACCGTCCTTACAACCCCTCACGCACCTTTGGATGCCACGCAGCTCGACTACCTTTCGACTCACTAGCAAGCCCCATGACCAACAGTTGGGCCACGGCCTTGTGAATTTGGGGAATTCGTGTTACATGAACGCTGTATTGCAGGCAATGCTGTGTTTGCCTGCATTTACCCAAGTGGTGCGGACAGAATCGTGGGTGGCCGATGTTGTTCCTGGCACAACCATGAAGCTCAAGCAACTCCAGCTCAAACCTGAAGAATTCGAGTTGTACACGCAATTCAAAGCCATGGTCAAGTCCAAGGCGGCGAAGAAGGCGCTGATGCATCCAGGCGCCCTCAAGGCGGAGCTGTCGAAGCGCGCCCCGATCTTTGCCGAGTATGTGGAAAATTTCGTCTGCGTCCTCCATCATCTCTGACGTGTATCGTCACATTTGTAGCAAGGAACAGCAGGACGCGCATGAGTTCTTTTCGACGTTTCTGCATGAGCTTGAAGAAGACATGACCCGCCTCGCCATGCAGGTGCTTGTCGCGAGCGAAGCCACGACGGCCGGAAAGCAAACCCTCCTGTCGTACTTTGGCCCGGCCAAGAAAAAACCACTCGTTGTTCCTGTCGGCGCGCTCCCGACGGCGTCATTCTTCCAAACGACCCTCCAGAAAACGCTCACGTGTATCTCGTGCTCGTACAGCCGACAAATGTCGGAAACGTTCCGCGAATTGTCGCTGGACATGCCGACCCCAGCGCCTCGCCCGCTGTGTTTGTGCCGGAAACCCCCCATCCAACTCACTGTCAAGAAGGACGGACCGAACCATGGTCGCCAGTTCATCAAATGCAGTCAATCGTTGAATCCGTGCAAGTTTTTTGAATGGGAGCCCGACGTCCCGTCCCCACCTCCGCTGGATCTTGCCCAGTTGGTGTCCGAGGTATGTTCCAAACGTGCCGAGCCGTGTTCAAACGTTGATGTCGCTTCAACTTCATAGCATTTCAAGCCCCGACAAGTCGATGTCACGTGTGAAAAATGCTCCATCGGCAAGCAAGCGACCATGACATTTCGCATTGCTTCGCTGCCACCAGTTTTGATCCTTCACTTGAAGCGATTTGAAGTCCACCAGTCGACCTTGACCAAGCGCATGGACGCAGTCGATACCCCTGCAGCGCTCGACCCTTCCAAGTGGCCTCTAGTGATCGGCCCGTCTGGCGTCTCCCACGCCAGCGACGCAAACAAGCACGCTGCCGCACCCGCAACAAAGGTTGGAGCAAAGCCATCGCCGTACGACCTCAAGGTAGTATTCACAGTCTGCCCGGTGAGAATCCATCATGCGAGGCGCGTTTGTTTAGTGCATTGTGCGGCATTTGGGCCGCACGGCCAATGAAGGCCACTACGTCACAGACGTGCACGACGCCGATAAATGGACACGATTCAACGACACTCTCGTGACCGAGGTAGAGTCGCGCGGTGGCGCAGGTCCATGCAATTCATGTTGGTGTGTAGGTGGAGTCGTCGCAGGTGCTGCAAGGCAATGGAGCCAAGTCGGGGTACATGTTGGTGTATGTGCAGCAGGACGTAGTTGCGCCAGGCGCCCCGTCGCCGATGGCGAAAAACAACAGCGACGACTGACGAGTTGTCGATATCACAAAAACGAACGACGACGTGGACGTCCGGCCACCGTCAACGCCAGCCCGACGCGGCGTTGCAGCATGGGACAATCGTTCTCGACGATGTCATGGGCTCGCCCTGTTTCGAATCATGTACCAGCCACATGCCCATCTCAAGTCGGTGCAAGCAATATTGGCATTTCTCGGCTGTTGTAACTACGTGTCTATCTTTGTAACATGGCGCTGTCGCTAGTGTTTTACTTGACAATGGTCAGGCCATTCGGATTCGCAAACGACGTCGGGTCTTCTTGGACTGGAATGAACCGCATGGCGACCCCTACACCACGAAAACGATGGGGGATTCACGCCTCGAGCAACACGTACCGAGTGGCAGCGCCAAGAACCCAATGGCGACGCTGTAGCCCCACATCGCGGCGTCGAGCGGCGACGTCTTGGTAAAGTTGCCGCCAAACTCGACAATCAAGACTTGGCACACGATCGTCATGACAAGGATAAATAGAAACATCGAGTTGGACATGAACCCGTTCAGGACTCGCCAGTCGTTGGTGACGCTGCGCGCATTGATCTCGTTGAAAACTTGGGCAAACACAAACACGTTGAAGATAAAGGTGAAGTGCCGGTAGTCGTAGACGTCGCACACGATGGGCTGGACGAGGCAGTCGGCGGGCACGTTGGGCACGACCGTGTGCGTGTCGTTGAAAGTCGGGTACAGCGGCAGGTACATGGAGCAGTTGACCACGCCTCCGCACGTCGAGTGGTTTTGAAGGAGGAAGCACGGCTCTTTGGCCGACACGACCGCGGCATCGTCGATCCATGCGTACGTGGCGCTCACACACGTGTTGCCATTTGGGACCCCCAGCCAGCCAGGACCGAGAAACAACAGCGTCAACAATGCTGTCAACTATCGGAAGGGCACGTCACGGGGGAGGGCACCGGGGGCAAGTGGCTGGCGGCCGTACCTGGAACGCGGACTGGACGAGGATATGCTTGATCATGATGCGGCTCAGGAGCGACGCGTCCTTTTTGTACGGTCGTCGCAGCAGGAGCTCGGGCTTGGGCACTTCTGTGCCCAGCGCGAGTGCCCCCATTGTGTCCATGATTAGATTGACCCACAGCATCATCACAGCATTCAATGGCGGGTCGAATCCCGTCAGCGCCCCCAAGAACGTCAGCGCGAGCGCCACGACGTTCACCGTGAGTTGAAACTGGACGAACTTGCGAATGTTGTCGTACACACATCGCCCCCACAGCACGGACTGCTTGATCGAAGCGAATCGGTCATCCATGATGATGATGTCTGCGGCCATGTCAATCACGCACACAGTTGTCGGCAGCCGTACCTGCAGCCTCCTTGGCCAAGTCAGTGCCGGCAATACCCATGGCGAGCCCGACGTCTGCCGCTCGAAGCGCTGGCGCGTCGTTCGTGCCATCGCCAGTCACCCCCACGACTTCTTGTCGCGCGCGAAGCATCGTCACGAGCATGTGCTTGTCGTCTGGCGACGATCGAGCCAAGACCTGCATGCCATGAATCGATCCATGCATGGCGAACGTACGCATCGCACCTGCAGTTTCGGTAACAGCGGCAGCAACTGGTCCTTGGGCATTTGGCGAAATACCGGCCCCTCCAACGCGACGCCATCGGCAGTAAGGATGCCACATTGCTTTGCAATCGCGCGGGCGGTGTGGATATTATCCCCCGTTACCATGCGGACCGTGATGCCAGCCCTCTGGCAAATCTGGACGCTGTCCGCGACGTCGGCTCGGAGAGGGTCCATGATGCCAAAGATGGCGCAGCACACCATGTTGCCTTCGGGAGGGTTGTCGAGCGTGCTGAGGTCGCTCGGGAGTTCGTTCGCGGCAAAGTCGCGGAAGGCGACGCACATGGTACGGAGGCACATCTTGGCCATGCTCACGATCGTGTCGTGGATGTCGTCGTTGGTGACTTTATTGAGGACGCCGATCGTCCCGTTTGCTTTCAAAACGTGGGTGCACCGCGTCAAAATGATCTCGGCTGCCCCCTTCGAGTACAGCCGGAACCCACCCGCGTTGTTGTTGGCCTCGGCACTCCTGACAATCGTGCTCATGCTCTTCCGCTCCGAGGAAAACGTGTACATCCGGTCGCCGGTGTGCGGGCGGAATGCCGCGTCTCGGACGTCCTTATAAACGACCCCCTGTTGTCGCAGCCACAGGAGCAGTGCGCCTTCTGTCTTATTGCCTTGGACGATCGGGACGTCACTAGCTCCTTTGTCGAGCAACTGAGCTGTCGAATTGGCGCAAATCGCGGTCGAAATCGTGTCGAAGAAGCGAGTGTCGAGCTTGATGGGGCTCTGCATCGCCGGCGCATCGTAGTGCTTCCCCTGCGTCCACAGCTCAACGACCGTCATGCGGTTCTCGGTGAGGGTGCCAGTCTTGTCGGAGCAAATGCTCGTGCAGTTGCCCATTGTTTCACATGCCGCCAATACACGAATCAAGTTGTGGTCGTTCAGCATCTTCTTGGTCGAGTACGACAACGAGATAGTCACTGCCAGCGGCAGGCCCTCGGGGATCGCCACAACGACAATCGTGACCCCGATGATAAACGTATCCAGCAGCTTGTGCACCCATGACCCTACGCACAAGCCAAGTCAGCACCAAGCAGCTCCATGCCAGGGTGGCGAACGTACCTTTTCGCAACTCCGGTGCTGTCGTTGCGTAGATGGACACCATGGCAATCATTGTGGCGATCGCGCAGCCCATGCCACCGTACCCGATGACCTTGACCATGTCGTCGAGCTTCTCCATGAGCGGCGTCGCGCGGTGCTCCCGGACGAGTTTGGCCTTGATTCGACCCCATCTTGAGTCGGACCCGATCGCCGTGATGATGACTTCGCAGCGACCCGACGCAAGCAAACATCCTGAGAGAAGGAACGGGTCTTTCGAGTGCCCTTTCGTGACTTCGTCCGGTTCGCCCGTCAGGCTCGACTCATTGCACTTGACGTCCTGACCGCGAAGGAAGACGGCGTCGGCAGGCACCTTGTCGCCGCTTTCAAGCACGACGATGTCGCCGACGTTGATGTCTGCGACTGGCACTTGGTCGTACGACCCAGCGCGCAATACCTTGACCGTGAACTCGTCGTTCTTGGCGTTGAGCGCGCGGAACTGAAGCTCCTTCGTGTAGTTGCTGACCGAGCTTACAAACGCAACGAGCACAACGGCCACGAGGATTGTAAACCCCTCGACCCACCCGTGTTCAGGGTTCTCGATCATTCCAGTCGCAATCGACGCCATGGCAGCAATGTTCAAAATGATGAGCGTCGTGTCTTTAAAGCAGTCGAGGAACAGGGACAGAAAGCTCTGGCTCGGCGCTTCCACAAACGTATTGGTTCCATACGTTGCCCGTCGCGCGACAAACTGGTTGTCAACCTCCTGGCGGCTGAGCCCTGTCTTGGTGTCAACATGGAGCTTCTTGGCGAGGCCGTCGACCCCACCCAAAGCCTGGAGGTTCTTCATATTTGTCTCTGTCATCTGGTCGATGTTGATGTCAGCTAGACCTTGCTTTGAAATGCCAAACCCGCCCCCCTCAAGCTCTATTCGCGCTGGGCCAGGCACTACAGGATGCGGCAGGACAAACGTGCCGTCGTCATCTGGGCTCTTGGCCCCCAGTGGCGTCACTCGGGTCATCCTCAAGATGGCTTGGACCTCCCAATACTTCCGCGGCCGTGTCGTTCAAGTACTGACGAGACGCACAGGCGCCGGCCTATTTATGGCCGTAACCGTTCTGTCTTCATGGTGGTTACGGCAGTTTCACACGGAGGGAATCGAGGCGTCGGATAGCCTATCCGGATGCATTAGCTACGCAAGATATTTGTTCTACGCAAGTTCGCGGCGGCGGTGGGCCACGTCGATGCTGCCCGGAGTGTCGCTGCATCATGCACAGATCAAGAAGCAGCATCACAGGAAGCGCCACGCCATGGCGCAGATTATGGCCGGCACCGAAGACATTGTGGCTGCTGTCGCGTACAAGCCATCGTCCTTCCAGCACGACGTCGTGCAGTTGACTACGGACAACCTGCCAGTCCGCGCCAACAGCACACACGAGCCGAGTTCCCGGTACTCAGCGACCAAGACGTTGCCGTCGTGGATTACAAGTGATCGGCAAGTGCTTCGTTTCTTTTGCTACTTCTTGGATCCGCCATCAGGCGCAGACGACGACAAGTCGACTCGAGGACGATCGCATCCGCCTCCTTCGACAGCAATCCGGCGACTCGTTCTCCATTATTACCTGGCTGACGCTTCCATCGAAGTGTGTGAACCACGCGTAGTCAACAGTGGCCTCGACCAAGGTCTCTTTCTTCGCCGCACTGGGCTGAAGCACCCATCGACATCCCAACCGTACACGCCGTCCGACTTGGTTGTTGGAGCTTCGGTGTCCATCAAAGGCCGTATCGTCACCCTCGTCGATTGCGATGCTGCCACTCGCGACTACTACACCCAAGCCAAATCACCGCAGCCGCCTGCCCTTCCATATCCAGACGCCCCAACCACGTCGCAATGGGACGAGATCGAGCGAATCAAGCTGGCCGGCAAGCCATCGTCGATGAAGTTCCATCAAGCCAACGCGCCGTTGGCTCACCATCGCATCACAGACAAGATCAACAGCGCGGCAAAGGTCCAGCAATTTATGTTGTACAGCAACAAAGTGCTTCGGTTCTACTGCCGGTGGGACGATCCACATCCGCTATACCCTGCCAGCCGTCCATTTGTGCTACATTACTACTTAGCTGACGACACGGTAGAAGTCCGCGAAGCAACTAAGGACAGGGGCATTGGCAAACATCCCGTGCTGCTGTCTCGACGGTACGTCAGCGACTACCTTGTCACTGGTCTGGCTGACGGTTGTGTCCAGCCGGCTGCCCTACGAATCGCCCCACGTCGACGCTGCCCACGTCAAAGCCGCGTCTCGATTTGTCACGGCGTTGGACTTGCGATGCGGCGACGTCGTTGTCGTGTTCGGCCGGCAGTTTTACCTCGTCGATTGCGACGAGTTCACTCGGACGTTCTACTTGGACTATCACGGGATCACCCAAGAGAGCCAAACTCCCCCGCCATGCACCCCCGCCGTCCGAATGGACGCCCCCGAGCCTGACGACTCGATCTTGCAGCCATTGCTCCAAAAGTCGGAGCGGAAAAAGACGTCGACAAAGCCACTCGGTGTCGACCAGTGCCTGCGATTTCGAGCCAAGCTCGCCACCCCGACAGATGACATCCAAGCCAAACGCCGCTTCATCCTGTCGTTCTACCTCCTCAACGGAACACTCTCCATCTTTGAGCCACACGTGCCCAACTCAGGCCTCCCCGGCGGCAAGTTTCTCGACCGGCAAGCGTATAAACTGCACCATCCACTCAATCGGTTTGCCCGTGCCAGTGACTTTGTCGTGGGCGGGACAGTGCAGCTCCAGCTCACGCCGTCGCAGCCGTTCGAACTCCTCGAAGCCGACGATCAGACGTTGACGTACTGCGAGGACCACCCCGACGAATTTCCCCGCTCGAACATCGACTTGGTGCTTCGCCACGTTGTGGCCCAGCTGGCGACCCAGTCGACGTCCCTGCGCCACGTCTTTCGAGCGCATGCGCTCTACGATGGTACCGACCGGCCGAGGCAACTGTCCCCGGACGCATTCGATTTCGTGCTTCGCGAGCGCCTCCACTTGTCGCTGCACCCCCATGAAGACCTCACGTTGCGGCGCCGGTACGGCCGCCCCTCGTCCGACACGGACAACCTCGTGTGGTACGATGTGTTCTGCGATGCAGTCTCGAGAACCCATGACGCCATGCGCCGTCGCGAGGGAAATACACCGCTGGATGCCCTTCGGCAGGTACGATTTTTCGCCATGACCTGTACCTGTGCTGGCTACGATGTGGGTGGAATTGGTGTGGCTGACATTCAACCTTGGCCTCGAATCGGCTGGCTGACCATGATGCATGCAGCTCAACGTGAACCTGCGAGGTGCCATGCTTCGGGCGGACGGTACAAATGCTGGCACGGCACCACGACACGTTGTCGAAAAGTTGCTGGGGTTCTACCAAGTGCATGTGCCCAGCCAAGTGCTCGATCGTTTCGTCGTGTCGCCGGATGGATCTATCGAGTACCATCGGTTCCTTGACGCTGTGTACCCGTGCGATTTTTCCCAAGACGATCCGCGCCACGAAGCGGACGAGCCAACGCTGAACGCCCCGGTGGTTCCGCCACCTGTGCCGGAGGACGGCCCGCTGTACATCCCAACGTACCGCACCAACTTGGACACAGCTCGATTCGGCGTCCTCGATCCTGCACCAACAACGCACGATCATGGAAGTGACCTGGTTGAAAGCGTGTCTCGGCAACGGCCCGAGCAACTTCTGGAGTCAAAACGCGACGAGGATGACGGACACAGCATGACGTCGACGTTAGACCAGTCCACACCGTTCACGACCACACACAATCCATCGCTGCCATCCCATGCGTCCGAGAATGGGCATTCCAGCCATGCGCTTGGCACCAGCAGGAGGGGGAGCTCGGCACAGTCCACTGGTGGCGGCGATGCGCCGCCAGTGCCACCGCCGATTTCAACGACGCCGCTTGACCAGTCCGTGTCTCTGTCGCGGTTTCGAACAACAGCCCAGAGCATGCACGAAGCGACGGCTCGAGCCGCGCAAGAGCTCGCGCAGCGTGAAGTCGCCACTGTCGAGCCGCCGCTAGTGCCAGGCCATCGGCGCAACGGAATTCCCCCAGCGCCAATGCGGCCCAACTCGACGCCCATTGAACTGACCAAGGAACAGCGGGCGGCCCTGTACAAAACGACGAGCCAAAGTATGGTCAGAAGTGTTGAAAAGACCGCTGCGCTCACGTCGCAGCGCGCCGCGGACGTGCTTGCTCGAGCCAAGGCCAAGCTACTGCAAGAGACAAAGCGGAATCCCCTTGTGTCCATGACCGTCACCGACGTCGATAGCGTCGACAACTCGACCAAGGCCCTGTTCGCGTCTGCGTTTGGGCAGCACAAGTATCAGCTGCGCAAGGCTCTCCGCGACAGCGACTACGACAAGTGCGGGTTTCTTGGTACGTCGGCAATCGGTTCGCCGTTGCGACGAGTTAATTGTGTCGACGACAGGAGAAGATGCGTTCATGCAAGCCCTCGTGGCCATCCATCCCGACCTGTCCGACGAAGATCGGTACCGGATCGCTGACGCGTTCTTCCCGTCAGCCGATGCCCAACTCAACTATAAACAGCTTCTGGATGTGGCGTTTGGGTCGTCGGCAGCAGCGTAGTTGTGCCCTGGCACAGGAGATGAAGCCTGGAGTACACGAACACGTCGAGGCGAGACAGACCACCGTCAGATCGTTGTTGGTATTTGCCTTTTTCAATGCATGTTGTTTTGGGCATCAAGACAAAGGTCGTCGATTCAAGGGACGGTCGCGGAGGCTTGCGCTCCTTCTTCGTGCACAGGCGGGACCCAGTCGGGCGCCGCGACTTGAAACGTCTCGCCCAGCAACTAGCGCGTTCTCTGGTGAGGTGGAATGTTGGCATCGGCATACCTCGTAGCGCCAGGCATGGAGCCAAATGCGCGCGCAGTGCAAGTGGTTTTCATTCGGCACACTCCGTGCACACCACTGACACGTTCGTTGGAGAAATGCGTCCTCCGTCTCGCCTTCTTCTCGTGGCAACTTGGACGCGATCGTGGTTTCGACCACGTCCTTGGCTTGTTCACGCCATGTCGACACGCCATTCTGGTTGTCGGATGGACCCACGGACTTGCCAAAGTGAAGTGTGCCGCCGTAGCACGGGTCGTTAGCAATCGGGAGGCCCAGGAGCTGCAAGTGCAGGCGAATTTGATGCGTGCGGCCTGTCACTGGCTGTACAAGCAACGCGTGAAACAACAACACCGCGAGAGTCATGGTACCTTTACCAGCACGACGGTCGTGCCGTCGTCGCTGTCGGCATCACGTCGAGGCGGCGTTGAATAAAATTGTACTAGCGTTTCTGCTTCCTTGAGCGATGGATCGTTCGCGTCCGTCGGCAGCGCCCATGACCACACACCATCCTTATGGGACTTGCATACGAGAGGGCACTGAATCCGCAGCCACTGGCCGTCGATGGTCACTGACGCGCGAGTAGTTGGGAGATGCAGTTGTTCCAACCAGGAACTTGTCAACACGACGGGGAACGCGCCGCGAACGCGAGCCAAGTACGTCTTGGATGCCGTGCGGTCGGCTAGCACAGGTGGCCATTCAGCGGGACACATCGTATTTCGCAGAGCGAGCTACCAATGCAGGTGGACAGAGTCCGGGCGGTGCTGGGATTCTTGGCCAGAATGACAACTCCTGCACGGACGTGAGAGTTTGCATCTGCGACAGAGGTACCTGATGTCAAGCGATCTAGACGATGCACAATGTGCAGCTTTGGGATGTCTGGCCGCATGTGCATCAAGATGTAATGCTGCTCAACACGGCGAGGGGTTGTCATCATGGAGCGAACGTGAAAAAGCGGGTCGTACGAGCGAATTGAAGCGGTAGGCTCCGCATGGATGCGTGGGTACACCTGCCGGCTTGTTCACAACCAGCTAGGGATTCAACTGAGGCTGGAAAATGCATGACGCAGAGGTACCAAGTCGACAGTCTCGTGGGCTATTTGTATGTCGTCGCCGGACACTGGAGGCTCGTGGCGATGCGTCTATCGCGACGTCTCTGGGCCACGTTTGTCGAGGTGGTGTGTGCGAACCTTGTGGCATAGCAAGTCGCCATTTTTTACGACTGTTGTCGGAGGAACGAGATTGCCATTTAACGTGATGCGCCCGCTTTCGATCGCCAGCGCCTGGACAATCACAGGTATGCAAACCACAAGCGGATGGTGGGACCGTACGTAGTATTCTGGAGAGAACGATCCAAACTCGGCGGTGAAGATCTCAAGCAGGGTCCGGCCAAACCAGCGCTGCTTGGCATGGGTTTGAAACCCAAACACGTACGGGTTCACGTAGCGATACCCTGGGCAATGCCACATGAGTCCCATGGACTCATTCCACCAAGCAGAGACATGTACCTTCGCGCACAACATACTCCGCCGTCACCTCTGTGCTAGCATGCGGCGTGACTTTGCGACGCTTTGCCTCGCGCGACACCATGACTTCTTCCTTGGCCATTTCGCGATTACCTCAATGCTCAAGAATGATTGGCTTAGACATGCCAAAAACTCCACGAATCAGCGATTTGATTGGATTGCTGCACGCGTTTTGTCCAATCAGTGCTCCACGTTTTGTGCGAAACGGTCGTCATGCGGCCCTGGATGGCACACTCATTGTGAGAGAAAATGCATTGAGCGGGTGACAATACAGTCTTCGGTCTTTGCCCGGGTCATCGGGTGTAATCTCGCCGCATAAGAATGCGCAATGTCGCCGTGGCGGAGGCGGCCAACCCTGAGTTGTCAAGCGATGCCCGGCGTCGCTGGGTAGGGATGTAAGTACAGTATAGCTCACCCTGGCGTGGTAGTTGAGCGGGTACAAATTGCGTTGTTGGCAACCCAGGAAGCGACTGAGACGAAGGCGCCTCCTCGTGGCCCTTCGCACCACCGCAATCAAGTGTTGTCATTTGCGCCAACTCTGGGTCCGTTTTTGTGGGGCCTGTTGGAGCTCGTCGTGGTGTTTGAAATGAGTTCCGAACGCTGAACTGATATCAATGTCACGTTTTAAACGCGTTTTAAACGGTTCCGCATATAAACCTCATGCCAGGTCACCGTGTGCCACATTCACTCGAGCGCCTTCGCGACTGTGCGGCGTGCTCCTGCTCACCTGATCGAAACCAATCCTGCCGTGGAACGGCTGTGCCCGCAGCTAGTATAGACGGTAGCCAAAGCCCAGTGTCGAGAAGTTGACTTGAGCATGCATACTCACCCCCTTTTGCACCTGTCCGTACCACCAACCCAAACACCGGGTATTTGAGTCCACAACGCAGAAACACGAACGCTGTGGGGATGCAGGTCCAGCAAGCCCTTGGGGTGCAGAGTTTGCTGCCCGCATTTTGACGTGTTCATTCAGGGCGTGCACGCATCGGCTCTATACCATGCTTGGGCGATTACAATCTACCAATGACTTGAGAAAAATCTCCCTGATTCGAGGTTACCACATGCAGAATGTGTCGGACGTCTGTGGATTACGCACCTTGCCACTAAACCATCCCACGTGGAATTCTATGCCGGCGGGCGAGATAGCCGACAAAAGCATCTGCGCACCACCTTCCCCAAGCGACACGACGATTTTTCCATGTGGTGGCGCTGACACCCCGACAGTATCATATATACCGGGTATTTGAGTTATCCACCCCACGCGCTGGCTCTGGAATGACGCCACTCGACCCACCGGCCCGACTCCAAGTGCCACGGGATCGAGACGTTAAATGTTTAAACGTGTCTCAACAAACCGGTGCCAGGGCGAGGCGAGCGCGAGGGTAAACTGTTTAACGTGTTTGCGTTGATTAAAACGTCCCATGTCGCGGTGAAACCGTCATACCGGTGTGAGGGCCATCTTGTACCGCCACGTGATTGGCTGGATCGGATCGTCCGGATATATATATCCGGAAAATAGGCCCTGCCACTGTGCTTGACCAGGTCTGATCGGGAGACATCCATTTCTCCACTGCATCAACCCTTGCCGTGATGGCCGCAGTGACCGACGGCTACGTCAACGACGCACCGCCTGCGCTTGTAGCGCATGGTGTAGGCTCCCCGACAGCATTGAAGGTGCGCCCCATATCGAACACAAGCAACGCATCGTATGCAAGCGACAGGATGCCGACAGGCGGTCGCCACAACGGTGGGTCGGAAGGTGAACAATCCAGCGACGAACCTGACAAAGAGCAAGGCGACGAGAACGAAGATGCGAACGATGAAAACATAGCGCCCGACGAAACGACTGGCGGCGACCGCAAACCTCGTCGTGAGCTCCCTCCCGCCACTGTCAAGATCCTGAAAGACTGGATGCTCTCGTCGGAACACATCAAACATCCATACCCCACTGACGACGACAAGAAGAAGCTCCTCGAGTTGACAGGCATCAACATGAAGCAGCTCACGAACTGGTTCACAAACGCCCGCAAACGCATATGGAAACCCATGATCAGGCGTGAACACTCTCGCCAACTCCACTCGTCCCTGGAGTCGCATGCCGCGTCCACGGACGCGACTTACACGTACGACCTTTTGCGTGTCCCTGAAGCCGTGAACCGAATCTCCACCTGTAGACAACACCCAGCCAGTGGCAACCGTGGCTACAACGAATACGACCAAGGTCTTCCACCGACCCTACATCCCATGATGGTGCGCTGCATATTCCGTCATGCACCTCGTCGATGTAGCGATCATTCTCTCACCTGTTATATCGATGGCGTGGCTCATCGTGCATCGTTCTAGGAACGACGCCTTTCGCAGCCGTCGACTGCCGATGTCGACCACAGACCGCACCACCTGAGCCAGATTCCGTCCAACGGGTCGGCATTTCCTCGCAGTGCATTCCCTCCCCTCGCGTCCATCTCAGTGCCACATTCGTCAGCGTACATGCATGGCCACTCGTCGTACCAGTCCCCGATCATGTCGTACGGGGGACTACCTCGCATGGCGCCAACTCCGCTCTGTCCACCTCGAAGTCACCGCAGCGCGTCCGAGTCGATGGCGCACCATCACGAGAGCCACCATCCAAATCACACCCACCACATACTCCACCATCGCGCGTCGACATCCTCTCAGCCGCCGTCGCAACCGTTCCTTCCACCGCGGGTCGAAAGCACCAAGAACGATGCTGCGAAAACGTCGCCGCGACAAAAGCGCGAACGGCCTGGTGGGTCGTCCGGGAATGCCGACGGCAGCGATGCGCAACAAGGCAAGGACAAGCGTGTTCGTCGCAGTGCTCTCTTGCCACCACATGTGATTAAGGTACATTGCCGAGGGGTGTGCATGTCTCATGGACTTGCGGGAGTAGACGTTGAAGGACTGGATGCTCTCTCCAGAGCACGTAGAGCACCCATACCCGACGGATGCAGAGAAGAATCAGCTGTGCCACGACACCGGGCTCGATCTGTGCCAGCTCAACAACTGGTTCGCCAACAACCGAAAGCGGCTGTGGAAGCCGACGATTGCGAATCGATCCAAATCGTTGTACACGAACGAGGTATCGCGGTGGGCCATGTCCTGGCTCGTGCTCATCGCGCCCGTCGTAGAACATCCGCAACCTCATCTACAAGTCGGAAAATGACCACGCGGCAGCCCGTTCGGAATTTAAATCGGACCGTGTGTTTCACGTCAACGCGAATCTGGCCCGACCGTTTGACGACGGCGCCGCTCCGTTTTCACACGGCCAATTCCCATCCCCTTCGCACTTGACGGCGTCCATGCCGCGGTATCCTTTCCCGAGCACTTCCCTCGGCGCTGTCGTTGCCCCGCGCGAAGGCAGGTCCCACACCCTCGACATGGGCTCGTTCCGCCGCAGCCGCATGAACTTTCAAGACGTACTGAACGCGTCCACAACTCCCATCGCCGCCCCACCCACACGGATGCAGTGGAGTACAGGCCAAGACTGCTCGTCGTCGCGGCGAGAGACCGGGACCTTTAGCCGACCACTGCCATCCCTGCACACACCGTCGTCGTCGGCAGGGTTCCCCTGCGGTCACTTATAGACAGCGAATGTAATAGCTCCTCCCATCTCAATCGACTTCACCTGTACAACGCTTGGTGTGCGGATACGAGAGTTCAGCGTGCGTGGCGCGCGCCCGGTGATGTTTATCCGATACCGGTTCGCAAGCCTCGGGTGGCCTGCAATGTATTGGTTGGCACCTACTCCCGTGCTCAAAACATTTAGAGTCCGTCCAGCCCCGTGTGTTCCGATTCTAGCTAGCTTTGGATGGCCGAGATGGCACGACTGTGTTGACAGCGATTGTGGTCGAGCGAGGGCCAGCTCTTGATGCATTCCGTCGTCAACGACCACATGGAAAATCCACCTCTGTGCACCCTCCATCCTTTCGAGGACACTGCCCCGTGAACTAGCAGCTACCACGATGGCATCATGTGGACTAATCAAGGCCAGGCCAGCATCCTTCCAAATCGGCGTACAAGTTCGTTTCGAGCTGCGTTTGCAGCGCGGCGTGGTCCTTGTGCTTGATGCGGAAATACACTTGGTACCGAATGTCTAGATCATGCCGTCACCATCATTTAGTGATAAGAGGCTTTCACGTACGAGGAGAAAAGTTGGGCCCGCCACGATGGGCCGTTTTGGGATGAGCAAGGACAGCGTCGCCAGGCGACAACCGCAACGCCAGAGGAGGGCCCAGGTCTGGGAGGCCTTGGCCTTGACCCCATGCTTTGTCTGCGGCCGTGCATGCGCGCAGGAGGTCCGCTTTGTCTGAAGGGGACTGCAGCATCTTGTGCAGGGTGTGGTGGGTGCGAGGAAAGACAAGAAGGTTGCCGCACTCGGTGGAGCTGGCCGAGTCGGACAGCGTAACGCCGACCAACAGTGTGAACGGATTCCACTTGCCTACCCAACCCATGGATGCCTGAGGACCTGAGGTGGTACATACCTTGCCGCATGCCGTCTGTGTGCCACTCGGTGCCCAGCACCTGGTATGGAGCGCAGACTTCGGGAAAGCGAAGGGCGAGCTGGGCCCCTTGTGGCCGGTCCACACATCCGCGCCCGATCAAACTCTCGACGGCGGCGTGTAGGGGGTTGTACAAATCGAGGATGGCTGGGTGGTTGGAAGTATTGCCAGCGAGTTTCGCTGTGCCTTCCACGCCGCCTTGAATCATCATGCCTGGCTTCCCCAGTTCGTGGTTGATGCGGCGAAGGGCGTCATGGACAAGAGGGACGGGCACAGCCCGTGGCAAGATCACGTAGCCGTCTCGGCAAAACGAATCGATTTGACCTGGAGTGAGAGGTGGCAGGCTGCATGCCGTTGCCGCAGATAGCTGCATGTGGGCACGGGAAGTGATTTCTGCCACGGCGAACGAATGCGCTGCGGCGTTCCCGATCAGGACATAACCGGGCGTGAGGTGGATGCCTCGACATGTAGACGCACTGGGCACGACTCCGAGGTACCATCCTTCACTGCCGTCGCTTGCGTTGGTTTTCTTCTGGTTGGCACACAACTGAAGTGTGAACACGTGGTCCGTTGTACCGGCAGTGTCGAGTGGCGTGGCGACGAAAGCGGCAAACTTTCCACCACCAGCACCCCACGACGTCTCGCCATCGTTCTGGGACACCTTGAGCTTCTCATAGGGTGCGTCTAGGTTACAGAACGTGACAATCGGCCCCGCTTTGTCCTTCTCTACAAGCGCACGGAAGGAAGTGCCCGTCGTGACGTGCGTCACCGCTACGACGCTTCCATTTGCCCACGTTGGGGTGGCCATTTGATCGTACGAAACAGAATGTAGGTTTTACCTACGGTCGGCTATGATGGCTTTTTTGCTGTTCGTCAGACCAAGCCGAGCCGGTCGCACACATGATCAATGCCCGCGATGCCCAGACACTGCAGACGCAGCTCCTCAAGGAAAGCAACGAACGGTTTGATCTACAGGAACAGAATAAGCAGCTCATGAGCCGCGTCAATATGCTGGAGCGGGACTTGGCCAAAAAAGAATTTGAGCTCACCGTGGCGTCTGTGGCAAGCGCCATCACCACGAACGACGACGTTCATGAGCTCATTGAGAACAACGTGGCGCTGAAAGAACAAGTTCGAACCCTCAAGGGGATGCTGGATGCCATGCAGAGCGCGCCACCGTCCAACCTCACGGGGCCTGACCAACAAGTGGCCACGACTTCGTCCGCTCAAGACATGGCCGACATCCAAGCACTCCTGGTCAAACTGAATGCGAAGGAGGAGGAACTGTCTGCGATTCGAGTCGAATGCAGGATGTGGGAAGAGCAATTTGTCGAGCTCAAGTTTGATTTACAGTCGGAGCGAGACAAGCAGCAGAAGCACCTGGCCACGTTGTCATCGGCGGCGGGTGTGGGCAACCTGAAGAAGGATGCGGTCGACGCGCCATCCGCCATCAACTTTGGCTTTCCAGTCACCACTTCGTCCAAGTCCACAGAGCTACAAGAGTACAAGGTGAGCGGCATCTGCACCGAGAGCAATAGTAGTTGGCGTCGGAGCTGATGATGCAGTCGAGAGTAGAACCTGGCCATGCAACGTGCAGAATATTGGAAGCTGTCGGAGATGGCCCTTGACAAAGCCAACACGGAAATCGGTCGGCTTAAGCAAAAGCAAGCACACCTCGAAGCGCGGCTACAGGACGTGTTACAGGTACCATGGTCCAGCAGAGGAATCCGCTTGACCACATCGCAGGGGGGCTGTGGCGGTGGATGCAGCTTGCTCAGCAACTCGATTTCGAGCGAGAGCAAGAGTCCCCATGTCCGTCACCAGACAGGTGCTGTTGACGCGGCTGTGCAAGAAGCGAGAAGGGAGACCAAAAAAGCCCAAGACACGCTCACCAAAGCCATGAAGGAGTTGGTGCGGCTACAGCATCTCGTGGAAGACATGCCCGTGCAGCACACGGTACCAAATGTACTGGAACGTTCTTTCCAGGGGTTCGACATGTCGCTGGTGCCGCGATAGATTGAAACGAAGCGACTGAAGCAGCGGGTTCGAGACTTGCAGATGGAGCTCGCGAGCCAAAAGTACGTCTCAAATTTTTCGTCGATTCGATCCATGATATGTGCCGTGCAGAACGACGGTGGACCAGCTCAAGAGTGCCGCGCTGCTGTACAGCCCGCGCAACTCGCGAGGGATCGACGTATCTCGCACGAAAGCCCACGGAAGTTTCAAACATATTTCGTTCTAACGAGCATCCGAGATGAAAGCGTGAGTGCGAATGTGCTAGAGGCTTGAACGTGCCGATGGACGCCTCGTCCTTTCCGGCCATGAGAATGGGCTGGTTCCTCCATGCCCGTTGACCAGCCGCATCTCGTTTGATTGCGTAAGGTTGTCATGAAGGCGAATGGCTGGTAGCCGTTCGTCTCCATCATGGCAATTTATCACCCCACCCTTCGCTTCCGCGGGGTCGAGAAGGCATGGTCACGGCTCCCCAGTGGCACCGTCCTCGCTGTGTCGACCACCGGCAGCTTGCTCCACACAACGCGGATGCAAGTCCACCACGGGCGAGGCAAAAATGTTCATTGAGCGATGCACTTTGGGGTATTAGCAGATTTCGAGGATTGCGTTTGGATCGGTCGCATATTGCGCTTTGAACTTGTCGAAGAGGTGCTGAAGCGATGCCACGTACATGGCGTGGTACTTGGCCACGTCTTCTTTGGTCGGCTTCTCGAGGAGAGGTAGCTGCACTGGCTTCCCGACGACCGTGATAATCTTGGCGGTCGCGTGCGGCATGAACGGGCACCACCACCGGCCCCAGAACAAAACGGTCGGGATCTTGTACTGATTCAACCACAACCGCAGCGACGCCAAGTGCGGCATCGTCCAGAATGTGCTTTCTTCGCCAAACGTGTACACAGGGTGCACCTAGCCCGTCTATGACGCATGGCGTCGCATGGACGAGACGAACCTTGTAGCCGTACTGGAGCGCGAGCTTGATGAACCCTTTGCGATTTTTAAGGAAGACGCGGTGTCGATTGTACGTAAACAAAGATGCTTCTTCGAATCCACCAGGAAGCAGTGCGATGTTTGTGCTGTCGCGGGCCAGTTTTTCAAAGCTCGAGCGACTCGCCGGCCCGCCACCAGCCCAGTACAAAATCTGTGCTATGATGGGCAGCACAAACAAGACGTCGGTCGCGAGCCATCGCACCGCGCTGTCTTTCCACGCAGCGTTGGCTGCGCCATGCACAGTCCTATTCGAACACAACGTTGATGCATCCCATGCAAAGGAATCGTTGCAAACCATCCGCAGACGAGGATCCCATGGGGATGGTACGACAAGAGCGTTTTGGATTTGGCGGGGCATGGCGTCACACCGTCATCAAACACAAGCTTTTGGTCCTGAAAATACGGCACAGAGTCCTCACTGAACCATCGAACTCGGTCGCAGAACCGAGGCCACGTGCCCCAGGGAAGTAGATACAGCGCACCACCGTAGACACTGTAGAAGAGCACCAGGGGCATACGGGAAGATGGGTATGTGGCCATAGCGGCAAGAGTGGCCATGAAGAGTCCGATAGACCCCAGCCATGCTGCATAGAAGATAAAGAGACCCACCGTCGCCCGCCAACGCGACTGCTCTCGCTTGGCCTCCGCCACCATGGTGCTTTTTGAATGTTGACGTAAGGTCGTTACCGATCGTCCAAAACACGTTAAACTGTTTTATTGGATTTTTAGTTTGTTTAAACTTAAGTGGCCAATCACATCGCGTCATAAACGGAGAAGTTTTATTTAAATTCAATAATTTGCGTTTTCGGCGAAAAGTTAACGTCTTTTGAGAATTTACAACTTTTTCAGAAAAATCGACGCATATCCGGATGATGATCGTGACACAACAGAAAACCGCACGCACCCCATGGCCGACACCACCGCGGCAGTCCCTGATGAAGTCGTCGGTGCCCACGGGAGCAAGCGATGCTTCCGCCATCGTGGGTGGATATTTGAATCGTTTAAGACAGTTGCGTTGGGTACCGAGGAACGTACACAGTTGAGCGAGCAGTGCGAGGTGCCCTGCATTCCATTGCCCGAAATCGTGTATGGCGACAACTACCTTCGCCTTACGCATGAAGCATCGGGATGGGCGGTCACGTTCAATGCAAAAGATGCGCTCATGTCGTGGGCTCGACATCAACGTCAAGATCTCCACAGCACCCTCACGTCCTACGACGTCATGTACACATGCGAGTACGAAGGATCGCCAGCCGAGGTATCGTTACTTGCTCGTATCTAAACGGCATGTCTAAAGAGCCGCAAGACATTCAACATAGAACCGACGGAACACGACATTCCGCTTGACAAGTTACGTGAGCACGCGACCATCTTGTTTTACGACCACATTTGCCTCTTCGAAGGTACCTCGCACGCCACCGCTGTCCTCCTGTCAACTTGACGTCTAGATGACATCCGAGACCTCGGTGAAGTCGAGCTCATCGTCAAGATCGTAAGTATCATGTCCATCGTCCACGGCAACCCTGTAACTCATGACGTAGCGCGTGATGCCGTTCGGGTTCCTCGTCCTGTGTCGGTATTTTGCTCGGATGGACGACAAGGTTGGTGCGACCGTGCTCAACTCGTTTGCAGGTTGGCTGCCATGTGTGCAACTAGATGATCAAGCTGAGAGATTCTCGGTATTACCACGAGTTTGGCACGGACGTCGTGCTCCGTGACTTTGAGATTCGAGAGTCTACAACGACGGCCCTCCACCATGTAAGCCGACGGACAAACGATTTTGTTCTGACGGTAGCCTCTCGTGTAGCTCTGCTCTGCCACGCACGAGCACGAAGTACGATCGTTCGATGTTGGTCACGGCTCATTTCACGGCGGTAGGCGACGGGAACGGACGATGCCCACCCCGCTTGCTTCATCCCGACAGCAGATCTCATGTACGCCAATACAGCGCCCATCACGCGGACGGCACACAAAATCCACGTGCGCCCCACAAATGGTGCAGAACCAACCGTGATCGTCGACCAACGTCCCATTTAAGCGGGAAAAAAGACACGATGCATTGCCGATTCAGCGTATGCCGGATCCTTGGAGCGGCAGAGTGGCTTTGGTCTGTCGAGTCGGGTAATGTATGGAGCTGTAGTGCCATGACGCCGGTTGCGGCCGTGGAAGTCGACGAGTTCGCTCGAACGAAGCGTCGTCCTGCTCTGTCCGTGGTTGAGCTATTTGCAAACTGCCGTGGCCCACGTAACATTGACTGGTTCGCATCGCTGACGTGCTAATGTCTGGCATTCACAACGTCGTCGTTGGTATAAATTATGGGGATGGCTCCATCGTGCGGTGTTCAACTACTCGTCGGCCGCGCCCAACCACTCATGGAGCAGCCACATGCAGCACCCATTCACTTCGTCCGTCCACAAGTCTCGATCGTGGACCTTGGGCTCTATCAGACCAGCAACTCGCTCGAGCGCTGCCTTTGTTTTCCATTTCGGCTCGTTGTGGGCCAACACTCGTAGTGCATCAGCGGCGGCCGCGACGCTAATGTCATCGTATGCCGACTCGAAAGCTTCCAAAAACGATTCAAACGTGAGGTCGAGCGCGATCAATGCCCTGGCGTCGAGGTCGTTTGGCGGTGGCGCGGTCGGCAAGGCACCGACGAATACGGAGTATTTGGCAAGCGTCGCGGGTGTGGCTGCGAGCACATCGCCGAGTGACCCGCCGGCCGAGTCAACGTCATGGCGTGCTTCGTCATGAATCTGCGCCCCGCACGAAGAGTTTAGCCATCTCTCCTTGAAAATTGGGCAAAGCCGGATCTTACGTCCGAGTAGAATGAGCCTTGGCTGGCGCTCGATGGGATGAATGAGCCTTGGCTAGCGCTCGGTGGGAGGGGAGCGGCCTACGCTCGATGTGATGGGTCCAAATGACCGACACGACCACGAGGTGCATGCAAAACTTACTGGGAGAAACGAATGGCTGTCGTGAACGGACGGCTCACTCGGTGGTTTCTACAGCGAACGGGCAAGGTCACGCTAGCATTCCGTGTGCTAGCGACCTACATCCGACACAAACGAACTGTTGCTGTACTGGCAGGAAAAGCCAGACGACGTTGGCGATGCGTCCGCTTGCGGGGTCCCCGGAGTGACGCTTGGCGTGTGGCTGTCGGCTCGTGGTGACGTTGTCATGGCAGCGTGTGTTGGAGTCGCGGCGACAGGGCTTTCGACGCCCGCGACGACCTGCAGTGATGCGGTAGAGGCATGACCAGTTGGCGCTTGCTCCTCGCCAGGGGGTCGTGGGTCGCCCAAACACGCAAGCAGTGGATGGTATGCTCGAACTAAGTAGCGTTTGATTGCCGCCTGGATGTACGTGGCCGCAACGTGCTGGACAGTCACGTCATGCAATGTATCACGATGGGTTTCTTGCAGCGGGTCTTGGGAAGGGTCTGGCGCGTTCTCCGATGGTCGAGTCGACGGGTCAGAGGCCGACGCCGCCATGTACTCTTTCAGTGCCAAGTAATGCCTCCTTGTCGTGTACCCCTTCAGCGCGGCCTGGATGCATGTGGCCGCCATGCCGCGCACCATCGACGCCACTGGGTCAACCTCACTTGTCGATTTTGGGGGTGCATCAGCGCGCAGTGGAGCTTCTGCCTTGAGTTTCACCGTCGCGTCCGCTTTTGTAGCCGCCATCGAGTCGATAGCCATCCCGTGGGCAATGTCAGCGTAGTTTGACGGATGCTCCATGCTTCCACGACTGTCCACGATGCCGCCTTGAGATGCCACTACGATGTCCCGGTGTGTTTTGTCGCTGTTTCTCGCGTGGTCCACCTGCTGGTGACCTAACGACGGCGCATGCCTGGCCCGACGGATCGCTTTGGCGCGGACGGCACCCCAACACGCACCTGCCAGCCGTGCGGCCATCGCTTGGTGTAGCTGGCTCTCATGGCGTTCAACACACTTTTCGACACACGCATGAGCGAGTCGTTTTGCCATCTCGAGCTCTCGTGCATTTTGCCGCGAGAGGTCGAGCACCGTCCACGTCACGGCCCCGAGTCGCTTGGCCATGTCTTGTTCGTCCGTGTCTATCCAGCATCGCTTGATTGTGTCCCCACACGCCTCTGCCAACCGGTGCGCCATGGCGCGCTCGAGTTTCGAATCGCGCCGACTCGTTCCATCCCGAACGGCGGCTAGAGATGTCAAAATCATGCGGCAGTTCGTTTTCGTGAGTACGGCACCTTGGATCACCGACGCTGCCAGTTTCTGGACGGCCGCCGCGTGCTCTTCGTAGCGGCGGTCATTCGAGGCGTCGGTAGGTCCGGTAGGAAAACACGCCATGGTGTCCGGTGGTCGGGCAATATAGGCGGTGGAGGTCGAAGGCTGAGGTCGCGCATCTGCAGCACGTTTACATAACTGATGCCTCACGACCGCTCGCTGGATTTTCCCGGCAGCTCCATCCATTCCAGCTCGGATCGCTAGCACGAGCAGTCTCGACTGGTGGCCACGAACGATTGCTTGAATCGCGGTCGCAGCGACAACCTGGACATGCAGTTGCAAAGTATCGACTGGGGCATGCGTCAATGGTTCCTGGAGCTCTGGAGCGTCGAGGATTGTGGTCGTGTGTGTTGCATCTCCCTCTTGGCATGAGGGTCCCTACAACCATTCCATTCTTGATTGGTGGTGCCATCGGCGCTGGCTGCACCTGCGTGTCAAGGTACTGGGGCTCCAAAGTTGTGGACTTGTGGCTGTCAAACGATGCCTGGCTATACGTTGGCGAAATGGACTTGTTCGACGTCGAGTTGTCGAGGAGTTGTGTCGGTGGTTGGGTTGCCGACATGGAACTGAGATGCTTGCGGCACAGCATCCCTCGCGCATGCTGCTGGATCGTGACAGCGCTCTTGATTCTTTCCATCTCGATCGTTAGCTAGAGCCATATTGGGAACCATCAGCGGACGGTGCATTCCAAAGTGACGTGGTGTGTATGTACCGCACGGTTCATCTCGATGTTCAAATGCAGTTGCAGGATGTACTTGCGGCTCAACTTTCGTGCAACGAGCGCCATCACCGACGCCCGTGCTGCACCTCCCTTGTACACGCCTGCACCCACAAGGCATTGTCAGCCTCGATCCTGTGCTACGACATCGTCGGCGCGTGGTACCTTGAATGACTCCCGCCGCCATGTCTCGAACCTCCTTTGTCTGGGCTGCCACGAGATCCGCTTCGGCTCGAGCTTTGTCTTGCAGTTCTTTATCAAGTTCCTTCTGCCGGCGGTCGACCTCCGCTGCCTTTGAAAGGCGCGTCCGTTCGTCGTCTGCCTCGTTGTCTAACTGTATCGATTCATTTTTCGCCTCGGTGTCTGCTCCTTGTCGAGCAATCAATCCAGCATTGGCGAGATCTTCCAGTCGAACCGTCTCCTTCTCCGCTGCCACCTTTGTCGCTTCGGTGTCCGCTAGAGCAGCATGCTGCGTCCTCTCTGCCGTAGCCGCCTCCAGTCGTTCCGCGTCTGCAGCTTCGTGGATCCAGCGTATTCGCAAGGCTTCGACGGCATCGTTTTGCCGTGGTTTTTCTAATTCAGCCTGTCGCGCTGCTGCATTAGCCTTGGCCAGCCCTTCCAACTCAGGTCGCTCTGCCTCCATTTGTTGAGCTGCTTCGATCTCTCGCAGCCGCTCGGGATTCGAGGCTTGGCTGAGCGTTAGCACTTCCACTGCTATTTTCGCAGCTTCGTGGTCACGCATCTGCTCGTCGGTTTGTGCGATGGCATCGAGCCGTTCGTCCTTAAACCGCGCTGCTGTGTTCGCTTCGTCCTCGCGGCGCTGGGCTTCCTCTCGTTGCGCACGCTCGTCGAGTTGCTTGGCCGCTTGTCTGACATGTTCTATTACAATGCGTCGGTTGGCTTCAGCATTTACGCTTGCCGCTTGTGCGAGGCGTCCTTCTTCGTTGGCGCGTTCAAACTCGACCTGGCGCTGTTTCATTGCAGCGTTTTCTGCTTTTGCAGCGTCTTCGATCTGTCGCTGGGCGTCCGCCTGCCTGACTTCGTCCAGACGCAATCGGTCGGCCAGTTGTTCCAACCGTCGCTTCTCCGCCTCCAATTTGGCTGCTTCCACTGCAAGGCGCTTCGTTTCCACTTGTGTGGCCTCTTCCATGTGCTTTCGTGCCAACTCGAGCCGATTCGCTTCCTGCCGCAGTCGCTCGCGCTCCATGGTCGCGTCCAGCAATCGCCGACGTTCCCACGCCACACGGGCCTTGTCCATCGTGAAATCGACACACTCGGTGCTGCTGCCCTCGGTCGAAACCAACCGATTCGGTATCGAGTCAGTACGCAGTGGAGCTACTGGAACGCCGTCGACGCCACCTTTGTGCGCTTGGCAATGACGTCGCTGGTTCGCTCCGCGCCATACGGCTTGCATTCGCGTGGCGGCCGTGGCATGTATCCTGGCGAGTTCGAGCTCGATACGTGTCTTCATGAGGCACGACTGACGGTCTCCTCCTCGGATCTTTGCTTGAACGAGCCGCGCCGCTTCGAGTTCTTTGGAGCGGAGTCGGTCGCGATGCGCAGCTGCTGTTCGCGTGCGCACTATGTGCCCCCTACACAGCGCTTGCAAACGCAGCGCTGCCACTCGCTGGACGCGTTCGAGTTCAAGTGCCAACTTGCGACGCCGCGTGATGTCCAAACAGTTTGTCGGGGGCACATTCGGATCAACCGAGTGTTTGAGTTGCTTGATGTAGGCCAAGTGAGATACGCGTTCGGAGGGCACTGGGGACATCGTCATCTCGTTGGGGGCATCCGCACGGGCTTGCTCACGTGGCTGCGTCGAGTTTGGCTTTGCATGCAGCTTGGCAGGTTGAATCGGCCGACCTGGGCGCCTGACGTCCACCCGTTGAGTTGCAACGTGGTCAAATACCTGCAACACGTCGTCGTCGTCGCCGTCTCCGTCTTCAAATACTTCGACCATATCGTCGTCGTCATCGCCAGGGCTGCGGGACGCTTGCACGGCATGACGAAGGCGCTGCGATGGCCGTGCGCTTTTCGGACGCAATTGGGAAAAAATCGGGGCGACCTTGGGGGGTTCGACTGTTCTTCGTTGGGCTGGTGGGCGATGGTGGTGCGTCTTGGATGAGGTGCGGGGCTTGAGGGTTCGTTTCGGTGGAGAAGTGGCTACGGTGGCATGGTGGTGCAGCGCAAGAGTGTTCAAGGGGGTTGGCTTGGAGAGAGTAGGTCGGGGGCGAGCAGACGTTGGTCGGGCAGGTTTCGTCGACGGCTTGGACGGTTGATACACTTGCTGCGCAGCTCCAAAGGACGTCGTAGGGGCTGGCTGGTGGTGGGATCTCGACTGGTGAAGTTGTCGGCCGGGCGCCGGTGGAGTTGGTGCGCCTTGAGCAATGCGAGAATTCCTACAGCGATGGAAATGGTCGGTGCATGTCCATGCCGGTCAAGGCAAAGCACAACATCGACGACGCACTCAAAGGTAAATTGGGGTGACGACACACGCATGGACCCAGCCTTGGATGGCGATCCATTCAGAGTTGGCTGGCGGTGGCATTTCTACAAGCGCAGGATGAAACGACAGCGGCTGCTGCGACGCGATGCCGTACGTGTTTCGCGGCGTCAAAGGTCGCTTTGAACGTCTCCCACAGGTCGGGGTTGGACGTTTTGTATTTGAAGATCATTTGGAGTGCCTTCTTGTACCACTACCCACACAAGCCATGAGACCGTCCCCGCGCATGACGCACGTCCGCGCCATCCCGCCGCGTGCTTTTGCTTTACCTGCAAGCTCGCGTCCGCCTTTTGGTTGTGCTCGAGCTCCACGGCCATGTTGTGGTACGCAATCGCGAGGCCGACAATTTTCTCCTCTTCCGTCGTGGCATCCAACACGTCCAGCCGGTCGTCAACGTCGACTTTGTCGACAACGAGCTCGTCCTGGGCGTGCAAGATGGCCGACTGGGCATGCTCCAATGCAGCTTCATGGCTACAGATCGTTTTGATGTCCACAGCTCGGTAGAATCGACGCCGTACTGGCCCAATTGCGACTCAATCGCACAAAGGTTGAGAAACGTAATGGATAAGTTGTGGACGTGCGTGGTTTCGGCTCCTATCGCGGCGGCGGCGTGGAGGTACTTGAGTGCCTTGGGCAACTTGCCGAGTCTACATTGGCGGTGACATCGGCAACGACACGACCGCACGTACCTTCGATAGCAGCACCCGAGATTGTTGTACGTGAGGATGCGTAGCGACTCTGTGAAAGTAAACTTGTCGGACGATGCTAGCTGGTCCGCTTTCTTGAGCAGGTCCAGGCAATTGTCGACGTCGTTGGCACCGAGGACAGCCATGGCGTGCTGGTTGTACAGGGTGACAACTTCCTGCAACGACCTGCGAACGTCGACGTTCTACCACACACAGAGCCATGCTGAGTGTGGTTTTTTGCGACCACATGACGATGGGGGGTACACCCAGCTTCGTACCTGTGGCCCCAAGAGGCGCCACCTGAGCCACAGCGCCTGCTCCAAGCACCCGATCGCTTCAACATCCATCTTCTTTTGCTTGAGGCGGATGGCCATGTCATGGACCATCTCGAGCAAGGACGCGTTGCTGTCACTTGCATTCATCTCGTCGTCATGGGGTCGCGCAGCGTTCTCGCCGCGCCGTCGTCCGTTTCACTCGCTTTCACGTTGGTGCCCCCGACAACGAACCGGTTTTCAGTTACTCCACATCAGCCAAGGGTTTGTGTGCCAAGGTCATCTTTCCTCCAACGCGCTCGGCTCGTTGTCCGATCATGGTTGATAACGAAGCACATGGGCCACCCCCTTTGCGCACGGCGGCGGGGGGGGGCGGCGCGTTCACTTGGGCCGCAAACTTGCATGCCAAGTGTATTCGCTACTTATTTGACGCGCTAACTTGGCAGCTACGCCAGACACGGTTCAAGTCGGCCACTATGTCGTAGCGCGTCCTGTTCGAGTCTTCATGCGGTGGACGCCTCGCCTACTTGGTTCGCCACACGACATCCACTTCGTCTGTTCGAAACCTACCAAGTTTCGACATCGTTCCCAAGCCGATTTCGGAGACATGCGAACGTACCGTTGAGTACACGTGCACTCGGCAAGAGGCGTGGGCCCGAGCGATCGGAATTGCAGCGCGCCAGCTTGCGCGATCATCGCACCGTTGTCGATGCAGTACCGGTGGTCCATGGCGCATACACTGCCGCCGCGGTCTTTCGCCATCATCTCCATCATTTCTTGCAGTCGCTTGTTGCAGCCGACGCCCCCGACAATCAGCACTTGACTCTGGCCACAATGCGCCATCGCTCGCTCCGTGATCTCAACCTGTTGGACGGCCAGGGTTACATACAACGTTGTCGTCAGCACAAAATTGCTTCGTACGAGCATGGCAAAGATGGTTTCCTGCAACGAATAACATAAATCTGCCTTGGTGCACTCGCCCGACGCGAGCTTGGCCTTGGCCTCTTTTTCAATAAACGACAAAAGCCCGGAAAACGACACGTCCATGCCTTTCACAACGTACGGCAGCTCAATGTACTTGGTCCCGCTACAAGCACTCAACCACATAACCACCACACGACAAGGACAACCCCTTACGATTTGGCGAGCTGCTCGATGTTGTAGCCTGGGCTCGGGTCGTTGGACAGGTTGAGTACTCGAGCTACGATGGAGCGATGAGCGAAATACGTGTAGTTTGCGAGAACGGACGGACCAAAGCGGTCGAGGCAGTTGCCGACGGCAATGTCGATGGTCTCGCCGAAGATGCGGTATTTTTGCGTGCTGTACGAGATGACTTGCGTGTTCCCGCCACTCACGTAAAGTACGACGGGGTCGTCGCTCTTTGTCACGGCGCGGCCCATCTCGATATGACCCACACAATGGTTGACGGCGACGAGGGGCTTCTTCCACAGTAGCGACAGCATCCGAGCGCCGACCGCCGCCGAACGAAGCGGTGCACCCATGCCTGGACCCTTCGTGTAACAGATGCAGTGGATCTGAGACGGTTTGATCTTGGCTTGCGTGAGTGCAAGACGCACGAGGGGAGCAAAGTGGACTTGGTGGTGCCATGCAGTCTCCCGCGGCAAGAATCCTTGCCCAGGCGGTGGAATGTACGTCTTCCTCGGGTTGCTCAGGATCTTGCAGCTGCCGTCCGCATGAAGGATCAAAACACCCACGCCGAGCTTGTTTGCGCTGCCTTCAATGCCCAGCGCATACACCGCACCGTTCGTGTCGCCGCCACTCATGCACAAGTTGGTGCGTATTGTCCTAATGAAAAGCCATCGTTTGGATTGGCTATAATTATATCCAATAATATTAGAGAGAGTTATAGCCAATCCAAACCGAATTGAGTTCGTACATCCGATTCCTGCCACGCATGTGCATGAACGGATGTCGCGACGAGCCCTTCGGGGAACGGCGCCAGCAGCAGAAAGTCAAGGGTGCCGAGCTCCTAGAGAAACGATAGGAATTCAGGGACGCATTTGCCGCTGCTTTAGTAGCCAGTCGCCCCACACCGACATCCTACACGCTTGCGGCTGCAAACAGATGTCCTTCAAGGACAATTCAAGTCTCCGTCGATAAAGTCGGGACACACTGTAGTCTTTGGCAAAGGAGGAAGCTTATGCCAATGAGTCGAAGGCGACTCTACGGCCGCGGGTTACAACAACGTGAAGGTTCTGTATGTAGGTTGTGTTTGTTCGCCAAAGCACGTATTTTAGTCCAGCGTTGGCAGTCCACGCAAATCCATAGGAGGGACGTGTGTCAGAGTCTAGGTGGCACAGCGAGATGTGTTGAATTTCTAAGTTACGTGCCAACTCGGCCAATGCTTTCGACGAACGGGGTCGCAGCTTTTCACCCACGTACATGTCGAGTCAACGACTGAAGGATGGCGGCCTTGAACTGCATTGCACCTTAAATCTCTTCCACGGGCCCGTCAAAGCCATCGAACATGTCTTTGTTTCTCGGTGGCACCTTCGCGTTTGCTGGAGGGTGCCTTGAATATCCTCGATGTGGGGGAGGTGTGTTGTGTGGTGGTGGTTGATGGAACGGGAATTGAGCAGAGTCCTCTTGGTCGTGTGGGCCGAACCCAAAGTTCCCAAACGAACTGAATCCAAATGGGCGTAGCATTTCCTGCATCAAGTCGTCCATGCTGTCGAACGGGTTGCCCATGACTCCACTTTCACGCGACATCTCGTTGTCGCCATGGCTATGCGCGCTTCTACCACGGAATAGCTGGAACGGATCAGGGAAAATGCCACTCGATTCTCCATCCACAGAAGAATCTGCCGAGTTATCTTGGGTTTCGTCCTTCACATCCAGGATCAACTTTCGTGGCCGACCAGGGCAGTTGCGGAAGATACGGCGAAGAGTCTCGCATTGGCGGTCGCCATGGACGCTCCGACAGGATGACGAGATGGTTGTAGAGTACGTGCATTCGGGGTGCTCTTCCCGGTCCTTGGCCAAGACCTCTTCGTCGGCGACGGTCAGCTTGGTCATGCCGTTGCTGAAGAATATGCGAGAACAGTGCAGTGGGGAGGAGAAATTCGCGAATTGCATCGAAATTATATTTTCCCAATTTCAATATATCATATATTATAATGCACAAAATATAACCGAAGATGCTGTATATGCTACGTAGTACTTCCAATCGCGTGTACACATAACCCGCCCTTGGCAACTTGCCTACATGATGTCCATTCACTGTCAGTATGCATGGATACACGCGAAATATCTCTATAATGAGTCGATTCAATGAACTATTTGACAAATAAATGTTCGTAGGTATAACCCGAACAGGGCCTTATAACATCTCAAACATTTGAAACATAATATGAGCAGGTAAGATATTCTGCAGTCAAATGTGTTTGGAAAATATGTCATTGGATTGATATTTTGGACAGGAATTAATTGGTCTCACTAAAGTGACGAATTTGATCAAATGTATTTTCTTGAAATGAAGCGTCGAAAGGGATATTTACACCGTTGTGATGAGGCACGTTGAGCTGCTTGACGGCGGCACTGGCGAAGAGCTCTTTCGTCTCGGTGTTCCAGACGACCGTAAGACTTGGTCAGCGTATGCGCTGACACATGACGAGTTCCACTCTACCGTTGTCGAAGTCCATCGATCGTACCTCGAAGCCGGGGCAACCTACATCACGACTAACAACTACTCGGTGACCCCGGCGGCCCACTTTTCGCGTGAGGATATACAAAAGTACGTCAAACTTGCTGGTCGACTCGCACGCGATGCCATCAACTCATCGCCATGGACCCATCCAAAGCACGTGTGTGGTTCTTTACCGCCCTTAGCTGAGAGTTATCGCCACGACCTAGTCCTCCCCGCCGCCGATGCTATTCCCTTGTACACCATCATTGGCGATGCTTTGTACCCGTACGTGGATTTCTTCTTGGCGGAAACGATGTCGTCGATTGACGAAGCTCGCATGGCGGTGGAAGGAGTCCAACATCTCGGCAAACCAGTGTTCGTGTCATTCACGTTGCGAAGCGACGGTGCACTTCGCAGCGGCGAAAGCGCAGTGGATGCATTGGCCACTTTGCAGGCGTTCACTACCCCAGATATTCGTGGCATCCTTTTCAACTGCTCCGAACCTGAGGCCATCACAATTGCCCTTCGTTCCCTTCCACCCTGGTCGACTTCTTCGAAACAATTGCGACGTGGAGCTTACGCGAATGCGCTCACGCCCGTTCCTGATGGATGGGAAATGGATGGCGCAGCGCCACAGCCATTTCGCACGGATTTGTCTCCAAAGGAGTACTTGCGTCACGTTCAAGAATGGGTTGAACTTGGAGCGACCCTCGTCGGCGGGTGTTGTGCAGTCGGTCCAAGTCATATTCAAGTGCTTCACGAAGCCTTTTGACCCCAGTGACGACGCCCCAAGATAAGATATTTGAATATTTCAGGATTTCTTGTTTTGACATCAATGAAAGAAAACGCTAAATATTTTGTCCTGAATCGATCAGGAAAGGCGCGAAAGCACTGCCGATTATAAATTTCTACTCATATTTTCGTATTTTGTTCATTCAAACTTAGATTTTGTATAGGCCCTGGGCCAGCGAATAAAAATGCGCCCACCTCACCAATAGAAACACGACTTGCAACTGGAGGGAATTTGAATCTTGCGCGGGTCAGGACAGACTAAGGCCGCGATGGACATGCATGCGAAACTTGAGGAATGGAGAGAGCGCAAGAGGAAACGCGAAGAAGAAAAATGTGCTATGAAAATCGTGTATGCGGCACTTTGGTTTTGTTGTGACTTGATATTGACATGGGGATGCATGTAGAGCGACAAGAGCATCTACGGTCAAGAAAGTCATAGTGAGCAAACTCCGCGCACCGTCGACCTTTATCACGGCGCCATTCCAAGCGAAGTCTACCAGACCGCTCCCATATGATAAACCACAAGCAAGTATAAATGCTGGAACACGAATTCAAGCACAGGGAGCGTTGCACAGACACGCTTCACGCGACGTCAATTCCAAGAGTGGACGAGTCCAACAAAGCGCGTTGAAGGCATCGCTCCGACAAATTCATCCGTCAATCTCGTCGCATGAAAGAAAGCAAAGCAGCCCTTCCTCAACAAGGGATGAATCGGATTCAAGCGAAGAATCGGCATCTCCACCAACGGCAAACCACGAGAGTGTAGAGGTGTCATCGAATTCCAGGTTAGGATCGTTGGGCGGTTCAGTTGATGCGCCGCGTCGTGTCCTGAACAAGAAGAGATTATCCTACGGAGAAGTCCATGGGGTAACTGAGCCCACGAAGTCACTCGACACAACTTCAGCTAAACTGGCACCGCGATCGAATTCGGTACCTGCATTAACTGAGCCCCCAAGGGCTACTGGTCATGGCGTTTCGTCGACAAAACGACTTTCGAGTGAAGCCATTCTGGACGCACTTGCAAAGCAGGACTCGCCAACGCGTGTGCTGCGCCGCGTGAGTTTGGATGCCCCAGCGTCCACCGTGAAGAAACCGAGAGAAGATCGGCGGGCATCGTATGATGTCACTCCATCGAAGGATCACCGCCGATTGAGCGTTGCCAGTGGTGGCGGACCACTTCGAGTGCTTGCTAAAACTGCATCGGACAGCAACGACAGTGAGGATGACGACGACGACGATATTCTTGGCACGCGCATCCCCGAGGAAAAAGAGTTGCATGCAAAGTTGCGAAGAAATGCATCGAGTTCTCGGTTGAGCCTGTCGAGGGTATCCAAGCGGAATTCGTTGGAAGGTACAAGCAGAGGTGATTCCTGCCACATCAAAACGCACGGCCAGAGGTCTTTTCCTTATTCGATTGTGTCTTTTACCCCAAATCAAATTGTAGAACGAAAATGTCGCTCGAAGACTTCAAGTACACTGATAAGAAACTTGGGTTTGGAAAGTTTGGGTACGTCTATTTGGCCAAGCAAAAGACGGTGGCTGAGAAAGAAGTGGCGCTAAAGGTATACACAGTTCAACGAAATGCGAATCTCACTTCAGTTGTTGTAGGTTTTGACCAAAACCAATATGGACGAAGTCGGTGTTCGAGGCTTGAAAATGGAGGTGGAAATCCAGGTAACCAACATCAGACCTTCGCTTGTTGATGCTGGGCATTACATGGATTGAACATTGCTTCTAGTCGCGATTAAAACATCCTCACATCCTCCGGCTGTACCGATATTTTCATGAAGACTCGCTAGCCTACTTGGTGCTGGAGTACGCACCCCATGGAAGTTTGCAAAAACTGCTGTCGGACCAGGCACAGGGGTATTTTGAAGAGGCAAAAGCAGCCTCATTTGTGCTCCAAATCGTCAGTGCAGTACAATACCTCCATGCACGTCATGTAATGCATCGCGACATCAAGGTTCGTCCATCGAAGTCTATTCAAGAGTGGCGTCACACAGCAACCACGCTGACCGTGTCTATATGTAGCCCGAAAATCTCCTGCTGGGATCGCACGAAACGATCAAAGTTGCTGACTTCGGTTTGGCCATCCATGCCCCTCCGCCCAATGTCAAGCGACGGCACTTTTGTGGCACACCCGAATACATGAGCCCTGAAATTATCGACGATCAAGAGTATAGCGTGGAGGTTGACGTGTGGAGCGTTGGCATTGTCGCGTACGAGCTCCTCGTTGGCCACACGCCCTTCCGCGGAGAGGTACAACCCATCCTGTCCTATCTGTCGTCAATGTAGTCATGGTGCTCCTGTTTTCCCGACAATAGGACACATTCCACAACATTAAAACTTGGTACACTCAAAAGTTGCAGCGTCCAGAGCTGTGTGTGCCGGGGTACGGGTCCTCATCAAAGCTCGGGATTTGAGAAGTTTGTTGTAGATTGGACGATTGTGGTCATGTGAGTCCTCTGGCGAAGGAGTTTCTTCATGGGTTGTTGGCCCCAGCACCGTCTCGATGGTCCTTGGACCAAGCAAGGAGGCATCCTTGGCTCGCAGATGCAGCCACGATGTCGACTGGTGACGAATAATCCAGAAAAGTCTCACCAGCAAAGTCGTCTACGCGTTTTACAAGTGTACGCTTCCCATGACGTTAAGGCAATGACACCAAGTGTCGGCAATCTTCGGGAACGGCGTCGTATAGCTCCTTGGACTCCAACCACGTCCGACTGAACAGACGCGACTGGTATCGCGTAGCACTGTCGCACAGAATTGTTACGACCGTACTGCCACGTCCGAGGGACTTGGCCACATCACAAGCAGCGGCAACATTCAAACCCGACGAAGCGCCGACAAAGATACCCTCGTCCTTTAGCAGACGAAACACCTGGAAACGTCGTTGAGTCAGTGCCAAACGAAGCAATCAATCGAGATGAAGCACTGCACCATTTCGATAGACCGGCGGTCTTCGATGTGCACAGCGTCGTCGATCGGCGAGTCCTTCAAGTTATCGGTCACACGGCCTTGCCCAATGCCTTCCGTGACACTTCCAGCGCCTTCACGCTCCAACACACCATTCTTGACGAAGCTACGACAACATACGTTGGATGGGTTCATGGAATGATTGGAGACACTTGAAGAGGACACTGCCAGGAGGATCGGCAAGCACGATCTTGATATTGGGGTTCTTTTGCTTGAGGTAAATGGCCGTTCCTGGTGTTTGGCTCGTGCGTTGGTGCAGTTGCGAAGACAAGATGATAACCGAGGAATACCTGCAAGGGTGCCACCTGTACCCGTGGCGCACGTGAACGCATCGATGTTGCCTTCAGTTTGTTCCCAAATTTCAGGACCGGTCGTCTTGATGTGTGCCAGGCGGTTGGAGACGTTGTCGAATTGGTTCGTCCAGACAGCTACAGCATCCTCTCACATGGCATGTCTCAAGTCGTTGTGTCCATACCGTTGGGCGTCTTTGTCGCGTAGTCGCGTGCTTGATGGTTGTAGTTCAACGGATCGCTGAACGCCACAGCGGGAACAGGACGTACATCAGCGCCAAGGAACTGTAGCGCTTGTATCTTTTCCCGGCTTTGCGTATTGGGCATGAAAACCACGCACTTGTAGCCTATGTCCCCATGTGAACGGAATCGAAGAAAGCCAATACACATTGGCCCAACGCACCCTTGGCAGCGCAGACATGAGCAAGGCCAATGCCTGTGTTCCCCGCCGTTCCCTCGACAACGATCCCTCCCGGTTTCAACAGCCCTGCCCTCTCGTTCTCTTCAACAACAAAGAGCGCGGCGCGGTCCTTGACTGATCCCCCCGGGTTCAAGAACTCGGCCTTCGCCAAAATGTTGCATCCCGTAGCTTCACTGAGGCTGCCAATGCGGATCAGCGGCGTGTTGCCGATCATCCCAATGAAGCCTTGCTTGATCAATCGCGGCATTCACCTCGGTCGTCGATATGTGACTCTTCTTCTCAAATGCCAGTCTTCCGGATACAAGATTCCATTTACCGGATGATTGAGCTTCACCGGATAAGTGTACCCGATGTCCGTACCTTAATTTGGCTCTATCTGTGATCTGATTGGCTCAAATTTCATGTCCATTTGGATTTTGAAAAAAATTGACCGCGTGATCAACCGCCGCCTTCGCCGCGGTCACCTGGACACCAATCGTTTGAGGTATGTGCACACCAAGCGGGAAGCGAGAGATGTGTGATGCTTGGGTAATTTGTGAAAATTCATGAGTGCATGGTGACTTGAAATGTGTTCGTGCCATGGACGGCCCAATGAAATGAAGATCATGCTCGCCGGCTTGTGGTATGAAGTCCAGCACGGATAATGGAGCACGTGATGCATAGGTTTTCAGAGGACAATCAGGTTCTACTCGCTTTGATGGTGGAGGAAGAGACAGAGGACGAGGCAGCGTCGTGCACCGCCCATGACGTGATGCGATCCCTCTTGTCGAGTGGTTGCCGGTTGGTATGTGTTGACTTTGACTCGACGTTCCTTCAAATCCATACGAATGGAGAGTGGTCACGACCAGCGAAGGAATTACTTCCTCATGTTCGGTGCGTGCAACAACGTCGCTCCCATCGGTCGCTGATCTCGATCTAGTCCGTTGTTTGCTCGGTTATTGCCGCTCTTGGCCGCGCATGTCGCACTGGCTGTTGTGACGTTCTCTCCACAAGTTCCACTCATTCGAGAAGTGTTGAGTCTGTGCTTTGGCCCGACGGTATCCGGTTCGTTTCCGCTTTGTGTCTCCTTTGTTCGTCTTATCATGGCGCTTCAGAATCCATCATTGTTCGCGGAGACGTCGAAGGGTGGACGGTATCTCAAGACGACGCCGTGCAGTTTACAGGCATCGACGGCCATCACTTGTTGCTCCATCGCCGCACGAAGCTGCCGTATGTGGCGTCCGCGGCCCTGGAAGCATCGTCGTCGTGCGAGCACCCAATCCGCAGCCATCACACCGTCCTCATTGACGATTGCCAAGACAACGTGTTCCTCGCCGCACAGTGTGGCATTGCTGCCGTTCATTACGACCCCGCACAGTTCCCACAGCACATCCACGCCGTCTTAAAGCGGCGAAAACGCCGCCGCACGCTGGAATCCAGCAAGCTGTCGACGGCCGCTCCACCACGGACTTCCACAAGTTCGCCCACTCCATCTCCCCGGCGACTGAGCATTCAAACGTCGCTTAGCGGGCCACGTACATCGGTGCTGTCGGCATCCCGTTCAGTGCTAAGTCCTGCTCGGCCGAGCGAGGCGGCTGTTCCGAGACAACACTATTGCACACCGTCTCCGGTGACGAAATTGCGCGTGACCAACAGTATCGGCAAACCCAAACCCAAGCGCTACACCAAGCTTCTCAAGGACGCGATGGGGGCTGCCCCAAGCACCATGATTGTGTCCGCTTCTGCAGCAGACGATAAAGCTCTCATCCCCAACGACGCGCCACTGCTGGCAAAGGCGGAGGAGATACGAGACGACATCGTGGCGACGCAGATCAACTGGGCCGAACACATCGATCGCCCCGAACGCGCTTCCCTAGACGGTGTTGCATGCCAAGACAACGTGTAGGCGGTGTGGGAAGCCATCTAAATATAACACTTTTTTTCGGCACTTTGTCGTCGGTCGGTGCCGTGGCCCCATTGAGAGCCATTGGCGATGGCGTCGCCGCCTGCAGCAGCATTGCGAATTCCATATCTCGTCACGACAGCTAGTTCAGAAGATGACATGGTGCCGCGCCGACCGTCTCCATCCGTCATGACGATCGATGTGTCCGTTGTGTAGAGTCCCGCGCTCCAGCTCCAAGTTCGCGACACAGCGTCTTCTCAGGGGTGGCAGTCGGCAAAGTACAGTCTGCATACCCGTTCATCCCATGTCGCCGCCATGACGGCATGCATTGGAGCTGCAGACGTCTTGGGCGTTTGCATATGATGCTCAGTCACTGGATGGCTGGCGCTGGCGTGCTTCGCCCCCGCTGACATTGCCTGTGGATAGGCTCTGCGAATACCCCCAAGTCCTTGTCCTGATGGTGAACCACGGCACTCCCATGCGCATTGCGACAGTACGTGATGGGCGGGCAGCGTGCGCCGGTCGATTGTGGCATCCATCAACCTGACAAATCGTCCTGGCTCGTCCACAGATGCAAGTCTTGGTGCATCACACAAAGATCCCAACTCGCATCGACGTCTCGATTGCCGAGACGGCGCCGTCCAAGCTGCGGAAACTCGGCTACGTTTTGTGTGATGCGAACGACGCGTCCAACTTCAACGCTCGGGAGCTCAAGTCGATCACAATCAATTGCGACGTCGCGTATCTTCAGCTAACGCTCCAACAGTGCCACCGCAATCGTTTCAACGTGTACGATCAGGTGCTGCTGCGCATGTGCCATTTCGGTTCTGTGAAGGCATTTTCGTCATGGTTCAACTTGTAGGTGGGGCTTGTCGACGTCGCTCTCTTTGGCCCTTCCACACACCCCAGCCCTCCCAAGCCGCAGCTGAACCCAGTGCATCCACCCAACAACCAAGCCCCCAAGAGCCCTCGGAGCGCCATCGATCCCGCTGCCTTGGAGCTCTATTTCATTCCCCATCCATCGCACTTGGGGACCCGCCTGAGTTTGCGGCAGGTCGTGGAAGCGCTGCGCATTCAACGAGCCGCAAGGTCGGACGCCGAAGACTACGCAGGTGCAAGTGCCATCAAAGATATGGAACGAACAGTGTGCCAGTGCCTGGTCCAGCTCGAGCGGCTGCATCTGCAAAAGAACGACGTCGTTCGAGCCGAAAACTACGACGCAGCGACGTTGGTCAATACGGAAATCGATCAAGTGCTTGGCCGCGTGACTGCAATTGCCGCCGAGTCGACCTTGGTCGGGCCACAACAAGGCAAACCAACGACTTGCACCAGCGGTAGCCCCAAGAAACGTAGGGATGAATCGAACCCGCCCACGTCGGTTCAAGCCACCTTGGTCTCTCGACAGCGTGCCACGGACGCTCAACTCGCGACGCCGCCCACTGAGCCAGAGCCCTTGGAGTCAGCGCTAGGGATGGTGAGAACTAGCTCACGATGGCGCATCCCACCCTCGATGGCCATGGTTTTTTGTAGGCATGTGCAGATATTCTTGACCTGCTTGCACCCCTGGACGACCGCGCGCTTCGGTGCGCATACAGCCAACACCGAAGTCTGCGCGAGCCCGCAGTGGCGGCAGTCGTTGGCGCGCTGCAAGATCAACTCTCCAAAATCAGTGGGGCGCGCACTCCCCCTGGTGTTACTGCTGCGATAGTGCTGAAGCCGTGGCTTACGGCGGGGATTTTGCAGCAACCGTATCATGTACACCCGAGTCATTGACCGTCTCCGTCGTTTAAGCGAATGGGCCCATTCAGGCGTTTTCCAGTGGAAGCACCTTTGCTGTCGCTGCGATTTCAACGCTGCACGCTTCGCTCTCGACATCCACCCATCCTCCTTCCGTACGCTGGAATCCGCTGGTTCCATTGCGCTGGACTGACTCTGCCTTTGATGTAGCCCGAGGCTGTGCACCGCGAGCTGCTTCAGCCGCTCTTATCCATTTTGATCCAGCGGCTCGGGGACTCGTCGGCACGAGTGCGCAACAAGGCAGGCGTGTCGATGCTTGAGGTCTGGATTGCCGTGGATATGTCGGAAAGGCACTACACATTACGTCTGTAGATTGCAACGAGCATGGGAGTTCACCCTGTTCTCTCCAGCCTGCTCACGTCCTTTCAAATTAACGGCACAGCGGCCGTCCACTGGCGGCAACTCTCGAGCCTCGTGAGGGTACCTCGCCCTCGTCGCCACAGTGGCAGTGCTGCTGCTTATCCCCGCTTGCCTAGACGACAACAGCTCTGCTTGAAATGTCCGAGTGCTCGGTCGAGCCCTCAGAGATTCAAGTGCGCTTGCGTCCATGTCTTTCTTTCATCCAACTTTGTTTGACTTGCAGCAGATCGTCGACTTTATTCACGCCCAACGAGGATTTGGCCATGCCATGGCACAGGTGACAGAAGCCGCCACGCAGTTCGCAATCGCTCTCTACCACGTACAACGAAATATTTGTTTGCATGTGGAAGTGCTGATGTGGATGAGCAGAATCTTGGAGAGGTCAAGGCGGACGAGTGCCTGGCGTGTTTGGAAGCGGCCCAGCGTGCCTCGTACAAGCAAATCGTAGCCGACGACGAGTGGCATCAGCCGCCATCGTGACGTATAATCGACTTGATTGGGAATGGTCAAGTATGGTCGATGTTAGGCCTTGCTAGGATATGGAGCACCCCGCCTTCTTGTCATCCGCATGGGGAGCTTTCTTGGCCACTTCGGCTACGACTTGCAGAGTTTCGATGCTGTGTCTTGCTGTGCGAGGTGTCGTTTCCCCTGCCACCGTTGGCGCAGCCACCCCAGGAGCAGTGGAAGATGGCGATGGCACGGCTGTCGCAGGGGATACTTGGTTCTTCCTCGTTGGATTTGGCACTTTGGCTGGAGACGTTGCCTTCGCCACCACGGTTTCTGCGGCAGGCGATACATTTGCGCCATCTAGTGCCCAAGGCGCAGCTGGTACGGCTAGCGGTGCGTCCGCCTTGGGGATGGAGTGTGCCGAAACGATTGGCATGAGTGGGGGGTTCATATGGGCTAGCCCTGCTGGCATGGAAGTGGGTGTCCGAGGCGGCGAGGACAGTGTTGATGTGGGTGGACTTTCGAGTTTTGTGTCGACAGCGCGAGCTGTGTGTAGAGATGACTCGTCGTTGGGTCCTGGGATACCCCTCGGTGATAGCGATGGAGCTGCTACGGCATGCGACTCGGGGGTGGCTGTGTTGGGGAGAGAGATCTCTGCGATCGGTGGCTGTCGTGGCGAGTGGGCTGGTCGAGTCGATCGGAACTCGTCAAGTGGCATTTGTTCTGGCGATGGCGACGTGGCGGGCTGTCGTGATGTGTCTGGGGCGGGTTGAGCCACCGCGACGTTGGTCATGTCGTCGGGTACGTCCTGCCGAGCGAACACATGACCAACAAACGCCACGGATCCTTTATGAAGCTCTTGGAATTGCTCAAATCCATCCAAACCCGGCGAATCCAGGACATAAGTTGTCAATTGGATCGGCACTTGATGCTGGTTTGCAAACGCTTCAGCCTCGTGAACGAGGCGTTCAGTTTCTGCTCCAGAGAACGGGAACGCTCGAAAAAGAGGAACGTGGACTTCCCCTACATGACGATGAGTCCCACGACGAGAGATCTTCTGTAGGTCGTACGAGCTATGGGCGTCACGCCGCGAAAGTCGCGACCACGGCACGCGCGTACAAGAGTGAGGCAGTCTAGGGCGGCAGAGCGGACAGGCTCGTCGCAGCTAGAGTCGCTTGCGGTGGCTTCCATGAACGTGACAAGGTCGTTGTAAAGTTGCGCCATTGCTTGGGAAGGCGGGTCGGTCGCGAGCGGCGCATCCATCGCTCGCCCCAGCACGATCTGAAGCTGGTCTTGGAGAAATCGCAGCCCCAACACAAATGCAAACCCTCGTTCTTTGATTTGCTTTGTGTGGTTCCACAGGCACTCGATCGCCAAGTCGGCGACATGGGGCTGCTGCGCCAAATACCGCACGGTGCGGACGCAATCTTCACGCAAGAGCGTGTTGAACTGGACGGCGAACAGGATGATAGCGTCGATCGCGACCTGAATCGCCGGGCGCAGCACTCCGCGGCGGAGACTGGCCGAGCCAAAGCCAAGCACGTCCAAGGCCCCGGCGCTGGATGTTCGTGCCGTAGCTGAGTTTTCAAATATCGTACGCATCAAGTGCAGCACCGCCACCAACGACGGGATCGTACGATCGGCCAAGAACGTCACACGAATGAGCTCCATGTACATGTCCAACAGCATTTCGACGTCGAAGACGTGGACGAGAATGGCCACGTGTTGCTCCGCTACTTCAACGCACGCGCGCCGCACGTTCCAAGCAGAGCTGGTCGCACACGCCATGAACTCGCGACCCCACATCTTGACCAGGAATTCGTTTGACTTTTGGCTGGACTTGGCAAGAGGCAGCAGAGACCCGTTCATCCTTTCATCACGCAGCCAACGCCGCATCGCCAAGTCGTGGATGGTGGGCTCGTACAGAGGCTTTGGTGGCGTTGCGTCCACTGGTTTTGAAGCGGCTGGATTCGCTGTGGCCATGCCGGTTTGACTAGCTTGACACACCGCAAACGCTGCGGCTATCAGGTGCTCCCGCGAAGCTGCCAGGGTTTCTAGTCGCTGCAAACAACAACGTAATCGTGCTGTACAACATGAACAGCTCTCCACTGATACCTGGTGGTATTCTTGAGCTGTGGCATACTCTTCCATTGCAACGGCGTTCATTTTGAGGGCCACGAGCGCTTGAAACTGTTTTCCCACGTCTGTGAGCGCAGCTATCCGAGTGGTTAGCTGCTTGGCTCGGTCGTAGTCTTCTTGCGCTATGCAGGAAGCCTTGACGGCTAAAGCATGATGGATCGCCTTGGCTGTGTATTTGTCAACGTCTGCAGTGGTCAGGACGTCCGCGACAAGATCCAACGGAACGCCGCTGTCGAGCAAGGCGTGGTGGATTTCGTCGTTGGTTGTTGGCAGTGGCGAGTCGCCGCGCGACGGTGGAATGCTCAGTGGATAGATCTGGGGACTCGACGGCAATGGCACCCCAAGCACTTGAATTTGAAACAGCGCGACCTAGCCCAGTCAAGCCTGTGAACGGCAAGCCTTGTGGAGAGAGTGGCCGACCTGGTGGTACAAGTTGGACCCGACGACGCGCGGAGCATGCAGCACAAACTTGAGCACGTTTAATGGCTCGTGGAGGTCGAAGCGAATGTCACTTAGCCGAGTGCTGCTGCCATCACACCTCCAGTCCACCGAGCTACGTGGTAAATCACGGCAATGTGGTGGCAAGGCATCCGAGATCAACAGCATACCACAGGGAATGACACTCGGTGCTGCAATACACTTGCATGGGCACCTCGGGACCGCCACCACGTCTTGACGTTTGGTCGATGTACCGCTGAACTCGCGCATCGTCTGCCGCGAGCACGTCGACTACACCCATCGAATAGCGTGCATCACGACAAGTGGATCGCTCCAAGAGGTTACCTTTGGAAGGGGCAAAGAGCAAGTGACTGACGACTCGGATGGACTTGACATACGATCGTGTGGATAGCATGAGCCCGATCTCCTGGGGATACGAACAAGACTTAGACGACATCCACCGGAGCGGGACATCGCCTGGCGCAGCTTGCATCAGCATCAAGTCGACTGCGCACGGGTATATCGGTGCATGGTCTGTTGAGGACGCGTACACGATGTCATACGGCAGCTCCATTGCCACATTGGAATCCCTCTGGTCATCCCCATCACTTCCACGCATCTTCATACCATTCACCCGCGAAACGCGCCGACGGTTTCCGCGAAACTCGTGCTTAAGCAATCCCGCACAGCACATATCGACCCGTGTACTCAGTCCCGCTTTGAAGCTCGCTGACACCTTCATGGCACTTGTCCTAGCCGCAACTGCAAACTCCCATGGCGCTCTTGTGCCCGTCGCCGCCTCGACAACCGCTGGCTTCGCTTTCAGCGTGCCACGTACGTTAATCGAGTGTGGGGACCTGTGAGATATTCTATCAAAGCATACCTGTTATATCCAATAACTTGTCGACGATGATATTATTGCAATATAAAGGTTTTTGGGACGTTTTGATTGGTGGGTATTGGTGGTGGCATCGAGTGGAATCGCACGAGCGCCCACTTTCACACTTTAAGCGCTCGTGACGCCGCCGCCGCCACCATGCGCATCCACACGTGCTACTTCTGCTCGTCGCCAGTGTACCCTGGGCACGGAATGACATTCGTGCGCAATGACAGCAAAGTGTTCCGCTTCTGCCGGTCCAAGTGCCATCGTAACTTCAACCGCAAGCGCAACCCGCGCAAGGTGAAGTGGACCAAGGCGTTCCGCAAGGCCGCGGGCAAAGAAATGGCCCTCGACTCGACATTCGAGTTCGAGAAGGTGCGCAACCGTGCTGTCAAATACGACCGCGACTTGGTCGGTGCCACCCTCCACGCGATTGCCCGTGTGAACCAGATCAAGGAGAAGCGCGAAGCCGCGTTCTACAAGAACCGCATGAAGGACAGCAAGGCCAAACAAAAGGCCCAAGACTTGAAGGAACTCGAAACCAACATCAGCTTGATCAAACCCGACGTCGTTCGCGTCCGGGAAGCCAACCAACTCAACGCACAAGACATGGAACGACAAACAAATGTGGTCGGCGGCGACGACGGCGCAGACATGGACGAGTAAATGGAAAGTTTTGGTTGACGACAGTATGCTTAATATATTCTATTCCCTTCCGGCAACTCCTTGAATACGTCCTGCGTGGAACCCGTTCCTCGAACACGTTGCTCCCATCCGTCGGCCCATCACATCCAGCCACATCGGTAGCAACGTGTCACCACAATCGAGTCGCTCGACCAGGCATCCTGAACGAACAATTTATCGTCGCCCCCACGGATCGTCCGCGAGGCGATCGCATGCATCTTGGCTAGGCTCCGCGCCTGGTCTGCTGGCTTTGCTACCTCGTCGTGATTTCCGCCACGGAATCGCGATGAGGAATGTCGGTAGTGTCATTAGTTCATTTTTATTGGTAGAAAAGTTGAAATTTTGATGCAAGATGTGTTTTAATTGGTTGAAATGTTAGGGTTGCCTTGTGTGTGGCATACAATACACTCGGGAAAAGAAGAAACCCACAGCAGCGACGGCGGCGCGACGACTTGATTCAGCGACTCCGCCATGCCACGATACTACTGCGACTACTGTGATACGTACTTAACCCATGACTCGGTAAGGCATCACGGGTCGATCTGAGGTATCTGTGTCTCACTTGTGTCGCTCCCCTTGCAGCAAGCTGGGCGCAAGCAACACAATCGAGGGTGGAAGCATCGAGAAAACGTCAAGTTGTACTACGAAGCCGTGATCCAAGGCCAGGGAGCCACCATGACACGTACGATATGGGGCTGCTTAAGCTCTGTGATCTGATGTATAACGCTGTAGCTGGTGCTTGGCTTCGTCCTGACGCGTCTCGTCCTCCCGCGCCACGACCTCCTCTCATGATGTCGATGCGGCCTCCCATGGCTATGGGCATGAACCCCATGGGAATTGGCATGCAACCTCCCCCTATGATGATGGGAATGCGACCTCCTCCTCCAATGGGTATGTCGCACTCCATCTCGTTGAGTGATTTACGAGTCCCCAATGCAGGCGGAATGTTTCCTCCGCCGCGCGGTCCACCTCCTGGCATCGTTCCCATGATGATGCGCCCGCCGCCTGTAACTTAACATGATGCATGGAGATACACTAGTCCGAGTTTCCAACTGAAATCATGCATACATGCGTCGTCCATGGGAGTAATATTCCCGGCGCATGAAGGTCACTGCACGAGTCGCATCCTCAGTTTGGCCACTTTACGCAAATGACCAGTGCCTTGGTCACAGGATTACTTCGTCGCCGCTGCGTTCGGATGGAGGATGCGATGACAGTGCGTTTCCGAGTGAGGGATTGTTCTCACTCCAGCAGACACTGCAAAACAAGTGTTTCGGGCTCAATCGTTCAGAAAACCAGCAGCGCGTCCGGTTCTTGGCGCCGCCGACGTCTCCAGGCCCTCAAAGTCGATTGAGTTGACGGCCGTCTCCATAGTCCGAGAGCCTCGTGTGGCGCTGATCGAGTGTTGCCAATGCGAACTCAGCTCATGAGGAGGCTAGACGCCGACATGAAACTTGCATGGCTACGGGGACGACCGAGCCCGTCCTACGGATCCCCTCCACCCTCCAGACTCTCACGACAAGGCGATTCGGCAAACAGGAGAAGTTTCGTGGCAAAGGGCTGGATATGAGGGGCCGCGGCCCATCCTGACCATAAAGAAGTTGAAACAAACTCGAGTTCTCCATGGCAAATTCGAGTCTCAGAGGGTTTTGGGTGGAGTCGCTCTGCTTGGCCAGAATCCGCAGCCGCGAACGAACGAACGAGTGTGTCATGGGTGGATGGGGTGCTACGTTGGAGTCTTCTTGACGAACATGTTGTACACGACGGCGAGAATGCCAAGCAGGATGACGAGGCAAATAAAGTCCATCATGCACTTGTCTCCGCTGCGCCCCATCTCGGTCAGTGTTTTCTTCATCTTTGCGTTCAAGTTTTCGACTGCACACAGTTCCGTGCATTAGTGATGCTTGTCCAGGACGGCTTGGGCGTTTACCATTATTGCTGGTGTTGTCGATGCGCTCTTCGAGCCCTTCCAGCATAATGTTTTGCTTGACGAGTTCTTCGTTCAAGCCGCGCGCAAGCTGGCCGAGCTCAAGGACACCCGTTCCGATTTGGTCTACGAGGCCGTCCTAACAGTTTGTTGCTATCACAGTGCTGCGTTCGGCCTTCGCTTGGAGGGGTAAGGCGTACCAAATGCTGGTCCTTTTGCTCAATTTGAAGCATGATCTCGCGGTGCTCAGCAGTCGTTTCTTCTTGGTGAACGTCTCCGCCGCCACCACCACCAAGACCGCCGCCTGTCCACCCGTTCGTCTTATCCCCGTTGCTGCTAAAGGTTGACGCAAACGCCGATTGCCCTGCCGATGGCGACACCGCCGAGGACGTCCCAAAAAGTGCTGCGCGATCAAATCCATGTGCAGTGCCTTGAGGAGACCGACCGGCTGGAGAGGCTTTCAAATACGCGTTGGATGCTTGCTCTTTGACAAACTCGAGCTCGGATGTGTACTGGTCGACAAAGTCTTTGCGAATCTGTAGCTCCTCTTTGGACAATTTGCTCTACAGCAGGACACCCTTGACACGGCAAGGATGAGGATGCGACGAACCTTCTTCTTCTTCGCCTCTGCCTCGTACACAGATCGAAGCTCCTCGAGGTCTTCTTCAAGGCCCTGGAGGTCGTTCCGGATAGCTTGTTGTTGCTGGATCTTCTCTCGCGGATGCATTGGCTTCTTCGTCGACACGGGCTGCGCAATTTCGTTCAAGGTCTAATGAACGTGATGAGCCCTTTTTGATAGTCGGTGGACGTACAATTTTGAGCGCATGCAGCCGCTCACTGATCTTGACGCGGAGTTCGCCGAACCGGTCGCCTTTCTTCACCCCCTTCTTGTCCCGAGTCTCCTCGCCACCCATCTCGACATTGATCTTGGCGAGTTTGTCGAGCAGACCATCAAGCTCTCGACTCATTGCACCGCGGCGGTCGAATCGGTCCTGATGCGATGGATGAAAATAGCTCGAGAAGTGCGAAACGCTCCAAGATACAAAAGGATGGCACGCTTCTCGAGTGGGAAATTTCCTAATAAAGAGAGAATCGCCATGCTTCTCAACAGGAGCTATTCAGTACTGTCTTGTACCAACAACACAAATGCGATGTACGCAGTGGTAAAACGTACACAAATCTCAAGAACCGAGGTCCATAGAGCTGCAAAACGATAGCGCATTCATAAATCAACACAACGTACTGGAGGGAGTGCAGATATTTCGTGCACATGTGCGTGGGGTGCATGTGTGGCCCCCTTCTAGATGCATACTCCATACCCACATACCACCAACGTCGTCAGGTCGCTTGCACTCTTATGTTCATGCATGCAACCAACTTCACTTCATCGAGGAGGCGCTGAACGCAATTCACCCTGACGAACGCATGGCAAAGCAGGGAAGGAAATTTCCTTCGGTTCAAATGTGTGAAGAATGAGTTATAGGATATTTCCTCATTCGTCGCAAGTCAAGCGTGAAACGACTAGTTGCAGCCAATCAAATTGCGTCCCTGTGCAGCCAATCACAGGCGCCATTGCGGAGACATGCCTCCTTCACCTAGTTCGAGCGCTGCGGCGCAGGCGCAGGCCCACCGCTTGCTCTCTTCAGCGGACGACGATGAATGCCGCAAGTACTTCAAGGAGATGCACGTCGACTTGGATCGCCCAAATGGTCAAGGTTGTACGCTGCTCATCACAGCCTGCGCATTTGGTAACACGATGGTAGTTTTCTGGAATCGCTGTGATGACATGTGCGCTTTGGTTGTAGACAGAAGCACACTACTACAGGAGCTTGTGGCAGAAACGACGAACCTGGCAGCCGCCACTACTGCAAATGCAAACAACGCGCTGCATTTTGCTGCGCTATCGACACATGTATGCATCACGACCAAACCAAGCATGGTGCGGCAACGGTGTATCCCTGACGTATCGTGCATGTCTTTTAGCCAGACATGCTGCGTTCGCTCATTACGGCAGACGTCGACAGGTGGCAGCATTTGATCAATACTGCTAACGCCAACGGCGACACACGTACGACATCTTGTCTTGCGGTGGTTGACTCAGGCTACAATCTCACCATTTGCGTAGCTCTCATGGTGGCGTGTACCACGAAATGCGTGGAAGGGGTCGAGGCTCTTCTTGCGCATGGGGCTGACGTGACTGCGACCAACCGTGCCCATGTCACTGCGTTGATGTGTGCTGCCAAGAGCGAGAGTGCAACGTCGTCGGCGTCCGTCCTTGTCATACAACGATTGCTTGCTGCTCCTGGGATTTCATCCAGCGTAAATGCTACGAATTTGGACGGGAACACAGCGCTCCACTTCTCGGTCGAGAGTTGCAACCCTGGCGCCACGCGAGCATTGCTATCAGGTGCCATGACCACGTTTGGGCTAGTCCTCGTGACTGATCCAAACATGATGGAAGGAAATAGATTCGTCTCTCGACTGCAGCATTCGCAACCGACACGGACTCACCGCTTTGGAGCTGGCAAGAGCCATGCAACGCCAGCTCGGGCTTGGTCCCTCCGCGCGTATTGGCATTTCCCAAGTGATCGAAGCACTCGAACTCGCTTGGGCAAATCTGGAAGCCGCCATTGAAATGCGGAGTCAAGAGCTGCTCTTGAGCTTTGCAGATGATGAAATCTTGGCGGATAGCAGTCACTCAACTAGCAGCAAGACATCGTCAACTTCAGCCATACAGCCCAAGAAGAAGGTGAAAAAGAAGAAGCAGAAACGTCCAAAGGGCATCGACATACGAAGTGCCGACGACGGCGCGGAGGCTCTGTGTCATGCCAGAGGTGACAGACGGGTGCATGCTGGTGAGTTGCAAGACGGAGGCGTTCCCGCGACGGATCGCACGGAGGTAGTTGACATCATCCGAGACACAGCAGAGAGCCGCCTGCGTCATGACACCGAAGCTGACGACGATCCAAACGATGTGTGCGTGGATCTGGATCAGTTTTTCGACACTTTTTCCCTATTTCGAACGATGGAGATCTCCCTTGCCCACTTTGCCCTGCAAGATTTGGATGGGCTGAGCATGTCTCAGTTAGAAATGCTCCAAGACGCCCACATGCAAGCTTTCACCGTCCTAAATGACAAAAAGGTCAGTTTTGACTGCACCTTGCACAGCTTTGCCTCATGCGAAATATTTCCTTGACAGGTCCAAGTCGCCCGACAACTCGAAGCCGACCGCATCCACGCCGCGTACGAGTTGGAGCAGCACATTTTGAGCCTGCCATAAACGTCTGCAAAAGTACATAACCTAAACATCCACATGGCATCATGGACACCACGTTTTCGTTTTCGCTCACCCCCAGTCAACTCGTGATCGATTGCACAGTAGCAGGCTCGCAATGTCGTCAGCCCTGCCGTTGCCATAAAAACACGGGCTTGTGTGCATGCTGCTCATGCATACTGTACACTGCGCGCCACAAGTGGACCCACGTACAGTCCGCGAAATAATTATATGCGCACATTCAATTCTTCAGTTTATCACGCGATTAATGTCGGATAAAAAATACACCAAGGCTTCGGAGATTGTTTCCCATGAGGGGTATACCTCCAAGTCAAATTGCTACAGTACCATACATACGTGAGCTTGAATTTGCCGACAAATAGGAGTATGGTAGAATTGACCCAGTCTGAGGCATCGGAAATATTTATATGCGCACTGCGTTTTAAATTTTCTAAATTCATTCAAAATGGAACAAATTGGTGCGGGGATTT